GTGTCGAAAGCCCTCTTCGACGAGACACAGAAGCGCAGCGCCACGGAAGAGTTTGACAAAGAGTTCCAGAAGTACAACACAAAGCATGTACGAAAGCGTGCCTGCTCCTTCGACAGAGGATAGTGTGAACCAACCTCGTTGTGGCGTAGAATGCCGTGTCGGCCACTGCACTGACTTTGGCGCGGTCGGAATTGTCGAAAGCGAATGCACTCTTGTGGCAGGACGACAAGCTTACCAAGGACGGTAAGCCGGGGTCGTTGACGGCAAAAGAGCGCATGTTTTACCAAGGTCGCGTCAAGCAACTCGAAGCTGCGATCGACTCGTACCACCAGGCCATCTCCAAGGCCAACTACACGCGTGCAATTTTGTCTTTCGCTGGGCTCATTGTGTTCGTGTTGCTCCTCTTCCTGCTCAACCAAAAAGTCCCTATGTTTTAACGACGATGACACCTCGCTATGAATGCCGCGCGACACGTTGGAGTGGATCCGGGATTGGTCATGCTTGCCGCCCACGGTCAGGTTCTACAAATCCTGGCCCGGCTTCGTTTGAGACCTCGTGGTCTCTACCATGGCCACATGGCTGCCACCATAAGCTTGCGCCATAGGCAGCATCTCGTGTGGAGTCGTATCCGCCGCGTCGTTCACGAGCCCAACGCCTGTGCTCGCAACTACAGGGTAGTGGAGGTGCAGCTGCTGGGCCCCACCCACCACTTCAGATTTTTGTAGCCGAGCATGCTATTGGGGAAAGATTGGATGAGTAGAGTACTGCTACCAAACGAAGACGACGTCAAAGAACAAGGACTTCTCCGTTATGCAAAACGTAGAGCGGGACGACTTGAGGACTGCCATCGACCACACACATATCTACGTCAAAAAGGCAATCGATTGGGTAGCAGAAGGACTCAGCATTCCGCCACATACTCCATGACGAAACCTCAAAGCGCCACGTGGCAGCGCTTGAAGAGGACGCAGTGCGACTCGACAACAACTGCATCGGTGTCAATTCCTTCCTGACGTACACTGTTGCGTAAATTCTCGAAAGTGCTGGAAGGGAAACTGTACTCGTCGCAGGAAGGCCACCAGGAACATAGTGAAGTGCAAGTTCAACGAGCTCTCGCCTGCCACCGATCGCGGTCATCCTGCAATGCTTACGGCAATGCCATACAGCATTCGCAGCACGAACAAGAGCACCAGAAACTGCAGCGTCAGCTCGAAGAGCATTCTGATATGCTTCGGCGATACCTTGCACCCGACGCACGAGGACCAGGACGGGTGAAGTCACTACCATCTCCCCTGTCAAGGGAATCGACAGTCGTGCGGACGTACACAGAATGCAAACCCAGTCTTGGGGTCGTAGGGATTGCAACGTCAAGCAATATCAGATGGCCAAGTGCATGGTCACGACAATCGCGGTCATGGCAAACAACTCATGGAAGCCAGGCAAGACCCGAATGCGGTCACAAGAGGTCGCATGTTCAAATTGTCAGCCCGCCACTATCTCATGAAGTTTCAAGCTGCAGATCAACAACACGACATTGTGCAATCACGTCGCCAGCTACGTAACACACAACACAAGACGGTGTTACTCTCCGAATCGACGCGTACCCTCGTCCAACTTGTACAGCAAGAAAGGTCACACACATCCAGCTCCCCAAGTCCAGGCCAGTCGCCGCCATTGCCGTCGATGTTCACATCCATGGCGCCACTCGCGCTTCCGGATAAGTCAACGACGTTTCACTCTCGAGTTCACATAAACATTTGATATGCAGATTGCTAGTATCCGTACGTAACCACGACGTGGCATGCCCGCGTTGCGACTTGCTATCCGTACAATATGACGTGGCACGGTCATATGACTCGATTTGATTAAAAGTCCACCAGAAAGGTCACAGTCAAGACGAAAAACGTCGTGCCAGCTATGAGACGATAAGGATTGTCGCGTTCGGATGCGACGCGCTCGTCGATAAACACGATGCGGCCGAGGATGTACTCGGGGTACCTACGCCACGATGGCCAGTCAAGTCACAAAATCAACCCATTGACGACGTACCGGGTGTTCATTTGATAGTATGTCGTGATGGACTCGTCCGAGAGGAACCGATTGGGACACCCCAAGTGGAACGCCAAGTAGATCTTGGGTGCATTCACGTCCGTCGGCGCAAACGTGGGCAAAAACAGTGCCAGGTCGTTGTACGAGAACGATCGAAACGCAATCTTGGACGAAGCGTCGGCGTCGCTGCTGACTGAGACGTCTGGTGCTGCGGGTGCAGTCGCCGCAAGGGGAGGTGCAACCGCCGCAGCTGTGCAATCTTTCCACTTGTCTTCAATGTGCATGAGACACTCGTGGAGGCCCTCGGCCGAGTCCAGTTCAACATTCTCCACGTTGAGCACACTCACGACCTTTTTGAGCCAGTTGCGCTGCATGCCCATAGAAAACTGCAGTGATCGGACTGTGTCATGGAGCGTCGAGTTGGCATCTTCGAGATGGCCGATCTTCGAGTCCTTTTCATACACGGCATCCTTCAATCGGCGCACAGTGTCGTTTTCTTTGAGCATTTCACTCGAGTTGTTCATCGTGCCGCTGTGACCGGCTGTCGCGGCCAGAGCGAGGACCAGGGGAAACTTCGGGCCGACGGGACCCGTTTCAACGCTTGCGCTTAAACTAGACCCATCCTCAATGCATGACACTCTGCTCCACCCATGCAATTCCATGTACCTCGACGAGTTGGAGTACGAGTCGTCGCAATGACACGATGCCTTGTGCTGGTCGTCCAGCTCCTGTTGAAGTGTCTCCACTTGACGCTCCAACGCATGACAGCGCTGCTTGAGAAGTTGCAATTCGTTGGGTGGATCTTCCACGTTGTCTTCTTCGATTCCAGGCAAATTCTATCGTCACGATGATTCCAAGAACGGACCTTTGAAGCGAGGAAGGGGATGCTGTCGAACAGTACCGTGTCGAACGGCCGCATGGACACTATGCAATGCGATGGCTTTTCAGTGAGTCCGGGGGCAAAGTCACGTGGCAGGTGCTGGCCATGATCGCGCAGGAATGCTTCGCGTTTCGCAATCTCGGCCTCCCGCATGGCGACCATCGCCTGACCCATTTCATTGATGCGCAGCTGAAAGATACGCCCATATTGGCGGCGGCGTTTGATCTCAGCTACGCATGCTTCGTATGCGTCTGGAACCACCACACGATCGGTGAACATGGTTGTTGCTACAAAGGCACGACGTACGAGGCAAGAGCTCAATGTGCTTGAGTTCGGCAAATTGGAGCTTCTGGTACGCGAGGGCATCCTTGAGAATTCCGAGGTGTGTTTCGAATTCGACGATGCTGGACTGGAGCTCCGACACGAGCTTGAGCTTGGCGCACACAACCGAAAAGAACTCTTCCTTGATTTTGGCCACACTGTTCATCGCGATCTTCACGTCGTCGTCGAGCCTTTGCATGGACGGCAGCTAGAATATTCATTCGATGACGAAGTCCAAGGCCTTGGGGCCACCTACCACGTCGGCTTGCTGGCGAAAGAGCTCATCAAGGCCGCGACAAGCTTCCAGGATATGGGTGGACCCAAACATGAAGCTCGTGTTCATGCTGGTCGTGGCGGGCATCGAGTTCACTTCGTCCAGCGTTTGCTGCGTCGTGTCAGCCACCCGCTTGACGACCGCGTCGTAATTCTGCCGCAGCGATTGTCGCATGCTGGAAATGCTGGCAATGTTCGCGGCGCATTCGTCGATCTTTCGACGAAGGCCATCAAGTGGCACAGCCACGGATGCATGGCCATTCAAAGTATTGCTCGAATGCAATGTGATGGCGTCCGAGACGGACCGATATGTCGTGGCCAGTCCTTCCATCTTGGATTGGATAGATTTTTGGCTCTGCTGGCATGACACAAACCAATCTCGCTCGCGGTCCAAAGGGATGCAGTCCAAAAGCGTCGACCGAGTGGCTGTGGCCAACGCTGGGTGCAGTGGGATTGTCTGGAGGCGATTGACATAAGTGTCGAAGTTCTCCAAGAGTTGTGTATGGTCCGCTGATGTGTGCTGGAAGTCGCTCCAAAATGGTGTAAACCGCGCTTGCATTGCTCTGGACACACACAAGCCATGAGTGAGAAGGTTGCAATGCATTATAAGGAACAGAGCGATTCTTACACATGGTGGGTGTCCAAGTTCGACAGAGCTGCTTGAATTGCCCTGCTCTGATGTTCGAGTTGCTCGACGCAAGCCTCCGTTGCTGCCAAGCGCGCTATCGCCGTTGACTCCACTGCTTCGGCCATTAGAACCTGTTGCTGGAATTGTGATTCGTAGTCGAACAGGGCGCGAAGCAAGGGACTTGATGTTTCTTGCAGCAACTTTGAATGGTTGAATGGCGACGAGGGAAGCGCTGCTGGTGCTGCATCCATGTGGACATGAGCGACGAGAACATGCATTGGATTAGAACATACCATGAACGTTTTGGGGTTGAAGGACGATGCGTGGGGCTGGTGGTTTGTCAAGGGAGAGAATTCGACGGTCGTACAAGAAGATGGACGTCTACATAGTGCCACGTGAAGAGTATGCACAGTGGATGTGCTTGAACTGACCGACGCGTTGGGCAGGTTATACGACTCGATGGACTTCTTCGGGTCAAGTCGTGCATATGGTGGGCCATGCAGCAAGATCTGATCATCCACCGGCACGCCCGTCTTGAGGACGAGTGCTTGGCGAAGCGAGTGAATTGAAGCTCTGCTGTTATCACATATCTGTAAGAATACAAATGACATAATTGTGTTGTACCTGGCGCTGAGGTCCAAGTCATGTTGCAACCCATCCATTGCATTGATCACTTTGATATGCAATGCGAACAGGGATGGATTTGGCACGATGGCGCCGACAGTGTCGTCATGTACGGCCATGGGGGAATGTGAGTCCAGCGTCAAAGGAGACATGCAGCCTTCGGCGGCACCGAACCCCTTCTCCATATCCGACGCCTTGATTCCGTAACTGAGAAATGTTTGCGCCGTTATATTATTACACCAAAATACACGAACGGACTTGATTATTTTTATTCCACGTACCTGTCGCACTCGAGCAATAAAATGAACAATACAAACGACACCGTCGAATTACCGAGGGCATTTCATCGCCATCGACCAATCATTGGTTGTTGACACGTTTCTTTTGGCCAATTAAAACGCAATCCTTAGCATGCCGGTCGTTGTTCTTATACGGAAGTTCTTGCCGAGGCTTCTATCGAGTCGGATCCCAATCCCCAGATTGCGGTTCCGCAAGATGAGCGAAGAAGACGAAGTGCGCTCCCGCGCCATGCGCGTCAAGCAGCTTACGATGCAAAAGAAGTTCGTGGATGCAGTCGTCTTGTCCTTAGAAAACCCTCCCGTGTCGTCGACTTCGGACAATGTAAAGCTGGCGAATGCCCAAACTGTCTTTGCGGCGCTGCAGGCGTGCTCAAAGGCAGACGTCGCCAACGTCGTGCAAGCATTGACCCCGGACCTTGAAGATGTGCTGATGAAATACCTATATCGAGGGCTGTCTGTTCCGCAGAACAACGCGTCGTTGCTGGAATGGCATGGCCACTTGGTCGCCAAAGCGGGCAATGGATGCATCGTACGAGCGCTGACAGACCGGAAACTTGTGTAAGCTGACAGGATGATGCATCCTAATGACATCTTGGTTGTGTGGTTGTGTCTCGAATGAACTTGCTGATGGCTTCCGTGGACGGCGACATCGGGAGGTCGGGGGTTACGTTGCCGATGATGGAAAAGTGGTTGACTCGAGGGATCTCTTGGCTGGTCACGTTTGTCTGCGTACATGTCAGTACGGTGATCGCAAGTCAAGGTGTCTTACGAATCCAACGGAATCCAGCCACGCCTTCACCTCGAGCGCATCGTCATCCAGGTGAAAGTCATCTTGGGCGTACAACAGCAATATCGGGAGATGTGCTTTCGTTCCCAAACGCCTGCTTCCTCCGGCGAAAGGCTGCAACACGGATGCTTCTCGCCGAGCTTGCACTCCCACGCCAAACACGGGGTCCAGTGCCATGGACCCAAAGATGCTCGCAGTCGACAACCGCACGATGTTGTACACGCCCGAGATACCAATTACTCCAGTCAACTACGCATTCGCTTAGGACCTTGGCTGAATCCATGCATCGTGGGTCGACGGACCTGAGGGCAATTTGGGAAGTCAATCCCGTCATCTAGCGCCAGCTTAATGACGGAGTGCGCCCCCGCCGAGTGTCCCATTAACACGATGCGCTCGTTATCGCCACCAAACTACGCCATATCGCAATGCCGAAAATGGATCGCGGTCGATAGGTGGGAACGCTATACCTTGTGAATCTCCCTGTGAACCCATTGCAGCGCGTGGAGGACGTCGCGGATATGTTCGGGATACATCACTTCCGGGGACAATCGATAGTTCATCGTGACCGCAAGCGTGGATGTGGATTGTGCGATTGTTCGCGCCACGTGAGCATAGAAAGGTCCGTTCTTATCCCCGCGCTGCCATGCCCCGCCATGGACAAACACGGTCACAGGCAGCTTCGCTCGAGGAAAGGTGGGTGCCGTTGGTACCACCACGTCCTACTGCATGCATGAACAACTACGCATGCAAGGATATCGAGTTTCCTTCATTTTCCTACCAACATCTGCCTTGGGTGCGCCTTGTCCGTGTATGGGATGTCTCTCCAGATGTATATCGACCGCCGTTGTAGCGCTCGTCCGAGCATTATCGTGTCGACGCTTTTTCCACTTTGTCCAAGAAATTCGGATAAACCTTGTTTTATCCGAAATCGACCTTGGGAGGAGCGTTTCCTGAGAACCATGTATCGGGCGTCATCGAAGGTCACGTCGGCGCACAACGACGGCGTCTGGAGTACATTCTGGACGAGCCGCGATCAAATTCTGAGCGGTTCGGTGGATGAAGTCGTAAAGAGTTGGGACGCGAGCTCTCAAGAAGAGTCCCAATCTCTGTCGGTTGTAAAGCAGTACCCTGGCCACGTCCTAGGGACGATCTCGGTGACCGCGACCAAGGACGGGCGGCGGGCGGCATCGTCGTCGCTGGATTGCCAAGTGCGCATTCTGAACCTTGAGACGGGTGGAATCGAGAAGACAATTGACACCGGGGCTGGGGAAACGTGGCAGATTGCGTACGACCCGACAGACAAGTTTCTCGTGTCGGGGTCGCAGCAAGGCAAGGTGAACATCATCAACATCGAGCAGGAAAAGATTGTGCAGGCGATTGAAGCTGATGGCAAGTTCATAATCTCTGTCGCGTACTCCCCCGACGGAAAGCTCGTTGCATGCGGCGGGTTCGACGGCGTCGTCGCCATCTATGACGTGGAAACGGGCAGCGAAGTCCAGAAATACGAAGGTGCGGGACACTCATACTTTTTACCGAGTCTTTTCATGCGATGCATGCGTAGATCGAACGAAGCCCGTCCGGTCCGTGGCATTCAGTTCCGACGGGACCTTCCTCCTCGCTGCGTCCGATGACATGCACGTCAAAATCTACGACATGTACGCCCAGTTTGACAATTTCATGAAAAACTCACATGTCCAACATGCAGCACACAAAAGAACATTGTGGGCTCCGTGTCCGGGCACATCTCTTGGATCTTAAGCGTTGCGTGCAGTCCTGACTGCAAGCAATTCGCCACAGCGTACGATGCCACGGGCGCTCGTCCACGTCCCTCACCAGGTGTGTGTCTTTGTAGCGGCGGCGATCGCAAGGTCAAGATTTGGGACTTGGCGGCCAAGACCTGCCTTTATACGTTTGAGTGCCACACGGACCAGGTACAAGTGCATTCCAGCATGTTCATTTTTCTTACTCTAGCTGCGATAAAAGGTGTGGAGCGTGGCGTACAATTCGACCGGGACGCGTCTCGTCTCGGGCGGAGATGATGCGCTCTTGCAAATCTATGAAATAGCGTCGTAGACGAGCGCACGTTCAGAGTGCTTTGCCAAGGCAAACGGTAACCCAAACGACAACACTCCACCTCGTGGCATGTGTACATTTCCACGCGTCATTCTGGAGGGTCTAGAGTCTCCCTCTGTCCCCAACTTTGTGGCTCGCTCGACGAATCGTCCTCCACACACCTCCTGCTGCTGTAATAGAGGTGGTGATGGCCGTTGACTCTGTCGCCGTTGGAAGTGATGATGGCTGATATGTCCAGCACGCTGATGCGGCCAGTGTCTTACGTTATGCATGGGCGTCGATTTGCATTGATCTATCTATCGCAGCTCTTTCTCCGACTGTCTGCGCGACCGGCTGGCTGCACGGAGCCGTCCGATGGTTGTCGCTCGAGTGTGGTTGTTGCTCGAGTGGTTTCAAAACGCCATTTTGCCGTGTTCTGGTTTTGGCATTATCATGTTCAGGTTTTGGCGTCGAAGGAACATCAGGTGTTGGCATTTTCGGAGGGTTCACTGGGAAGTCGAACGTAGAGCTCGCTCCATATTGAATGACTGTAGCACCACATCGGCAGACAAGCGATTGACTGCATTTGCACCACCTCTCAACGTATCAGCGTGTATACGATCCAGATATCAAAGTGTGTGCATGCGACCACAGTCCCCAGACCCACAGGCGAGCGCGGACTTTGTCAATTGCCGTTAGGAGCAGTCTCGACTTCTCGCACTATAAATAGAATTCCGACATATCGTGGAGGTTTCAGTTGACATGCTACAAAGTCGATCTTCGAGAGGCATGGCTCGACGTCTGCGCCCATTGCAACATTTCCCATGCTCGCCCGCCTTGCCCTGAGCGCCGCGGTGGTGCTCGTCCATCACGTGGCGCATGCCCACGTCCAGGAACAAATTCGAAATGGCCAAGTCAAGGCGAAGGGAGTTAACCTCGGCGGGTGGCTTGTCGCGGAGGAGTGGATGACGTGGGATTCCCCGTTGTGGTGGGACGTGCCGTCCTCGCATCACAGTGAGTACCACGCGATGGAGTTTCTTGGCCAAGTCCAAGGCCAGAAGCAGTTCGACATGCATTGGGCGCAATGGACCACCGAAACCGACATCAAGCTCATTGCACAAGCTAACCTCAACATGGTGCGTGTACCCGTGGGATACTGGATCCAAGGGTGCACGGGACTCCCACCGGCGCTCTTCAAGCAGGTATGTGCCTTGGATGCGCCTGATGGATGTGTCCTGATGTTTTATGCACTTAGTGCGATATCTACGCCAAAGGGGGGCTAGTCTACTTGGACAAACTCATCCGCGATTGGGCCAAAAAGTATGATATTGCCGTCCTCATCAGTATCCATGGCGCACCGGGGTCACAAAACGGCGCCGACCACAGCGGATCCATCGACGGACGGTCACACTGGACGGAGAGCTACGACAACGTTTGGGCGACGCGCCAGTTGGTTTCCTTCTTGGTGCGCCGATACAACGCCGACGAAGCGTTCCTCGGGATCGGGCTGCTCAACGAGCCAGCTGGAACGACAAACCAAGCGACGATGCAGCAGTATTACCACGACGTATACTATGACGTTCGAACGGTCGTGGGCAGCAACTGCATCTTGACGCTGTCGCCGATCTTATGGTTCCAAGGCCGTGGGGCCGGGCCCAACTTGGAAGACTTTGGGCGGTATATGTACAACGTGTGGGTGGAGTGGCACCCGTACTTGATCTGGGGCTACGAAGGCAAATCGGAGAGCGACATCATTCAAGGTGCCGTGGGATGGGCGCGGCAAATCCGTGACTGGACTGGCCATCCACTCTTCCTTGGTGAGTGGTCATTTGCGACGGCGGGCGGCACGTTTCAAACAGAGGCGTCGAAAAGTCTCCTTGTCGACACGATGCTAAACATGGTCGACAATGCTCGCGGGGGATGGTCGATCTGGTCGTGGCGGGTCGCCGGGAACAACCCATGGAACGGATGGAACGTGCGGGGTCTCCTCAATGCATACGAACACTCGAACCAGTTCTGGACGGTACGCGCGGCCCCATTCCTTGCCACCAAAACGATGTGCTAACTGCATGAGCAGGGCAACCGTCCCAACATATCGGAACCTGTCACTATTGTTCGCGCGCAGCCCAACCTCCGCCTGGAGCTCTATCCCTGGTTTAACTGTGGCATCGTTCAACACCCCAACTACATCAACAGATTCGGCGTGACCGACCTGGAGCGTTGGGTGTACTACGGCTCATCGAACCAGTTCCGATCCGATCGAACTGGGGATTGCCTCGACGGGTTCAGTCGGTTCAACAACTTCTATGCCCACGGGTGGTCGTGCGATGACTACAACCCGAACCAAAAATTTCGCCTGTACAACCACAGCCTCATCCACCTCACTTTCAACAAGTGCCTGTCCGTGTCGAACGACTTGCCGACGAGCATCACGCTCGCAACGTGCAACTCGCAAGACCCGGACCAGTTCTTCTCGACCAACGAAGTGGCCCGTATCGTGGCTGCGGACAAGACGCGTCTTATGGCATTCGTTGGCAACAAGGACGGGTCCTCCGGGATTGCTAAGGTAGGGGCTGCGCTCCAGGACGCGACCGACACGTGGCTCATCGAATACACCACGCGCCGAGTGATCAACACCGTGTCTGGAAAGTGCTTGGACGCGTTTGGCGTCGACTACAGTCGAGGTACGGGATCCGTCCACACGTGGCCGTGCAGCAAGACGAATGGAAACCAGTGGTGGAACTACGACGCGACGACGAGCCAGCTCCGCCACGCCACGCACGGTGGGTTCTGTCTCGACTTGTCAGGTGGGTCGCCAACGCTCGCGCCGTGCCGCGACCCCCGGTACAAGCAGCTCTTTGCCAACCAGCAGGTCACCCTCGATTGGATTTCGTACCCCCAGCTCGATGTCCTCTCGACAAACCTCTAACACTCGTATATTATATTGGCTCCGATCGTGATTGCTCTCTGAAACGGTCTGCCCGTTTCGAATGAAACGCCGGCCAATCGAATTCGTGCAGTGTCCCATGACGAAACGGTCAGAGGCACGGTGTGGGATCGTGCAGTCCATAGCAAGCGCAGACGCGAACTCATGCGATCGTGTCAGGCTTAGGTATTGATGATGGTGGCATCACGAGCGAGCGCGGCGGGACACGTTCAGGATTTCCTTCGCGCAGGACTAGGTCGTGCTGGCGGTGTCACTTGGGTGGCTGGCTCATGGCCCAGCATCGGGTGATGCGGGTTTCACCAATCTGGACTTATGCACCACGACACGTTTAACATGGAGAGTACTTCACGACGGTGCATCGAGGTGCCGCCGACGGACGGGCAGCATTGGGTTATCATTGACGAAGTTGTATCACAAAAGCCCACATTCCGCACATTGCTGGATTCGGGTTGAATCTCGCCAGCGTCCCCGCGGGATATGTGATCCAAGTAGGCCGCGCCAACTCGTGGATGAAGTAAGCAATTCATGCTCTCTTTGGTCTCCATCACATCGTTTCGTGCGTGTAGTGCGTCGTGTCAAGGACCTTGCAGGACTTGGACGACTCTCCAGCACATCGTGGCCGTGCTAATCAGTGCCATGCCGCTCCTGGATCACAACATGGAGCAGACAACGGCGCGTTGGTCGGATTCAGTTCAGTATGCTGCAGCGACTCGCCGACTCACGTCCTTCTTGGCCTCGCCTAACGTGAAAGACGACTCGTTTTAAGGCACCTCGCTTTTGAACGAGGCTGCTGGGGCCAAAACGAGTTGGCTCGATTCTACAAATGCACGTACCACGATGTACACCATGTCGTTGGCAGCGACTGCATCCTATTCACGCCATCGCTATTGTCGTGTCAAAGCGGTGGAGCGGGCAACCGCCAATTCGAATCTGTTGCTTTCGGGCGAATGGTCCGGGCGGCAAGTGTATCATCGAAGCGTCTTCGAAAGCACTCGTTCGTGTGATGGTCAATATGGTCGATAGCGCTAGATGGATAGTGTGGTCATTGCGCACAGTAGGCGTCAACGCTTGGAATGGATGGAGCTTGAGCGGTCTCGTCAATGCCCACAACCCTGTGCCATGCCAGCGCCTGATCCTGCCGACGTCTTGACGCCGCCGGTTGCATTGCGTGGCGCGACGGGGTAGTACTGCACGGTAGACCTGTCTCGAATGCACGTTGGGCTCGTGGTGGATGACACTGTTTTGGCGAGGCACAGCTGGAGCGGTGGTGTATAACCGAGCGCTCGAACGACACCAAGTCGTGTACGAGTCGTGATTGTAGTAGTTATCCTTCGACGAAGGCGGCGGGACCACTCTATTGCAACATAGTGCGACGTTTCCGACGCCACCGAGTTGTGCAAGTGCCCTGTGTCCCCGACGGCAACTCCCCGATGTCCCTGAGGTCGATCGACTACTATGAAGCGCAATCGAATACATTCCCGACAGGAGAATGTTTAAGCGTAGCCCCGACGATCGGTGGGAGGTCGTGTCAACCAGTCGTGTGAGACTCGAAACGTGCTGTCTGTACACGTACGACAGTAAATAGTGTTTATGGGACTTTAAATAGCAGTAATAGCTAGTGCGAACTACACGTCGATTGTGATGGGTGCCGCCGGGTCGGCAGGTTCGCCAAGGTGCAGCGTGTTTTGGATCTTGTGGATGAGCAAGGAGTCCTTGATGCCTGAGGAAACCGACGGGAACTTGGAGGGATGGAGAAATGGATGTGCCATCACGTGCGCGAGACTGCATCGGTTGGACGGTTCTAACTGCAACAAACTCTCCAACAAGTCCAGCGCATCTTCAGGAACCAAATCATCGAACTGCCATGCGTGCACCAATGCTCGCCAGCTGTGTTGGCGAACAAACCTCATGACAGAGTCGGAAGCCTTGGACGATTCCACGGGTGGGCTTCCGGTGAGCATGATGAACAGCATCACACCAAGTGACCAGAGGTCCGCAAACACAGGGTCGTACGATTCGCCAGAATGCATCTCTGGTGCCATATAGAACTGCTTGCCCACCGCATGATCGCGACGCTCGTCGGTTTCAATGGACAATCCGAAATCGCTCACTTTCAGCACACCATTAGCATCCACGAGGACGTTTTCCAACGACAAGTCGCAATGAGCAATGCCACGGCCATGCATGAACTGCACGGCATCGCAGATCTGCGCAAAGTAGCACCTGGCAAGGGTTACTTCACACCGCCCACCAGGCAATTGTTCCACAACGTCAAACAGTTCGCCGTTGGAGCAGTACTCGAGGACCAAGTGTTCAAATCCTTGCTGGATAAAGTCGTCGTGGAGTGTCAATATATGCTGATGGGCTGCAACCTCGTTGGATTCGGTGTTCATGAGGAGACGGTGCATCTGACATTCGTGGGAGATGGGAGAGGTTCGTCGGGCTTTGACGCGCTTCACGACGACGTGGGTACCCTTCCGTCGGTCTGTGCACATGAGGACTTGGCCGGTGCGTGTGGTGGCGAGCCTTCTCACGACGGTAAACCGCTCCATCTTGCTTGGTAGTGTACGGATTTCGAAGTGAGGTTTCTGCATGATGTTCTCTCGAGTGCAAGTTCAAGTCGAGCCGGATGACTGCGGTCGAGATCTTGCATTTGATTGGTTCGTTTCGTCGGCACCTCGGTAATTCTGGCTGTTGATTGGCTCATTTCACGGCAGGAGATTTCCGCCAAGTGGAACCGGCTTCGTCCAGGGGCAGAGGCGGCGCAATGCCCGGCTCCAGACACGCAGCGAACGCAATGGCAAGAATTGCGAACGCTCTTGGGACTATGTATCCACGTAGGTGCGAGGCTCAGACTCATGTAGGCTGTCGTCGGCGCACGAGCAAGGTTGCGCGACCCTCCTACTCCCTCACCTTGGTCGCACTCCACCTCCAGAAGATTTTTTCCCTGGACGTCGCTAGCGTCCAAAACGTGTAACAAAAGATTGCCCCCAATGGGAATTTTCCACCCCGCCTCAGGGAAATATTTTTCTGAGGCAGGGATTGCGATTTTTTTGTTGGGATGGGTTTTCCACAATAATTCACACATAAATCTTGCACATATCAGAATATGAGCAGAATATGAGCGATGGGGGCCGTGGGTGCCACGCAGGATGTGCTGTGCGGCTTCTAGCAATTCGGTCAGTGTGCGGCTTATGGAAAATGTTTGGGTGGAGCAGCTTGATACTTCAAAGGGAGCTATTTATGACAACCTGCTTGACTACCCTTTAATCGGCCCATCCACACCGGTTGCTGGGCTGTGGAACGTGGAGAACGTGGGCGGAAGTGTGCCGTAGAAAGGGCGATGACGTTGGTAACTTCCACCATCACCATCATGCAGTCGGATATGTTTCCAGATTCGATCAACGCGACGAGAGTTGGCTTGTGACGGAGCGAGATGACCACGGTGCTGTGCGCCGTGTGCGATGGAGACAGTGGGAATGTCAGTGATAGTGAGGCGACAACCATCGATCGAGGAGATTGTAGGGACGAAGGCAGACCTTGTTTTGACTTTGTACAACGCAGTCAAGCCAATGGATGCACTGAAGCATGTCCCCCCCCACGACGGCCGCGGTGGCTATGGATGCGGCCATGGGTAGTTCAAGTTCGACTTGCGACGACAAAGGTTTCGCGGCGCTTGCATGGCCGATGTATCGATTCGTGGTCGCCGTCACATTCGAGACTAGATGCTCAAGCAACCACCGAGATACGATAAATACTCCAGTTAAGTTATGCAAAGGCGACACGTTGCCGTGCTTGTTAATGGGCGAGCTGCAGCAACGGAACAGCTGCCGGCTGAGCGGCACGCAGTTCCAGGTCGGGATGCAAAGCCAGCATGTCGTGGGCGAGTGGGTTGTGCCGAACGTACGCATGATTCACAACATCTTGAATCGTCCATCGCTCTGCAGGGTCAATCACAAGCATGTTCTCGAGCAAGTCCATGGCGTCCGCTGGGATGACGTCGTCGAGATGCCATGCAGCACACAGCGCTCGGCACCCTTTGGTCGCGACAAACTGCATCGACGAGTCGGATGCGTGCGACGTTTCGAACGGTGGAGTGCCCGTGACCAGCATAAACAGCATCACGCCAAGACTCCACACGTCGGCTTTGGCGGGGTCGTTCGTGCCATGGGCCACGTGCATTTCTGGTGCCATGTAAAACGCCTTCCCCGCGACGTGCTGGTTACGATGGATGGTATCGATGGGCGTCGCCAAGCCAAAGTCACTCAACTTCAACGTGCCCGAATCAGTCACGAGGACGTTCTCGAGCGATAAGTCGCCATGGGCCACCCCGTTCATGTGCATGAAGTGCACAGCGTCGCAAATACCAGCGAATGACGCTTGGACGAGCGGTGGGGCCAGTCGTCGATCCGGCGCGTTCTCGACCAGCGTGAACAGGTCACCTCGGCCGCAGTACTCCAGTACCAATGTGTCAAACCCGTCGGCGGAAAAATCGTCGAGAAGGGTGAGGATGTGGCGGTGGCCACCGTTGGCGCTGAGTCTTCGATGGATCTGGCGTTCCAACGACATTTTGGATGCGTCCACGCCGGCCAGGAACTGGACTTGGATTCGCTTCACAATGACGTGATGGCCAGTGAGCCTCTCCGTGCATAGAAGCACTTGACTTGTACTCGTGGCTGCAACTTCGTGGGCAACAATGTATCGATCGTGCATGACGGATGAGTGGAAAGGGAAGAATCGGAAAGTGACCAAGAACCGGCCAACGAGGCTGACTTCAACCCTGCGAGCGTCGTCTTTGCGAGCGATTGTTGGTACTCTGTGGCAGGCTGTCTGGGTGTGGCTTCGCTAGGGGCTTGCTTGATGATTTTGTGTGTGATACGGCAGGTGCCGAAATGTGTTACAAACAATGACATTTCATTGGCTGAAATGAACGACGAATCAACGAAACAAGGCTTTTGATTGGCTGTTTCAGGACCGCAGAGTCGCGCACCTGATGTCACAGAGCAAGACTTTCCACGGGGCATCACGCACCGTAAGCAACGCCGGTTTGGCTACTTTAATGACATTAGCCAGGACAGCTCGATGTCTGGATCACGGTCCCACCGCTGCTCACTCGTTGAAGTCCAACAATCAGTTCAAATTGATGCAGGTCCCCACACCTACGGAAGAGTTTCGACACTGCGAACCTACCTCTTTCTGACCGACACCACATCAAGCCGCCAAGATGATGGGCGCAACACCCCGTCAGCAGCTGCAACTTAGGCCCTGAAACATCGACGGACAAGAGACGGGTGTCTATTGCACACGCCCCACCCAGACACATACACGGTCAAACCCACTCGTCATACCCGCTCCTACTGTCGCGACTGTGGCAAGGTGATACGACAGGGGCTCTCATGTCCAAACACCTTGGCTCTGTCGAGTGTATCCAAAATATCCTGACCGACCCTGTTTGCTTCGTCGAGCCAGACGAAGGTTTGAAAGGTACGAAAACGTGGGCCGCAAGTGTTGGTCACCCGACCAAGCAGGTGGAAATCTCGAGAAATTGTAAGAAATTTATCGTTGAAACCTTTCGGAATCTGTTTCTGTTTAGGTGATCTAGATGCAGAGCTAGAACTGATGAAACTCCCGTCAGCAAAACTTCAGACTTATCCGTATGAAATCCGTACACAATCATGGTCGAGTCCATGCGCTGGGCAAACGCCGACGAGATAACTGAGGGCATGTCTCCCGACGCCATGATACTTTGCTCTCTGAGATATCCAACTCATGAGATACGTGCTTACAAGGCCATCCAAGTCACCAAACGTCAGGCATTGGGTTCTACACAGAGCGCCGAATAAACTAACGGTGTCTGTGGATGTCGTAGTATTTCTGCCAACAAGAGGCAGCAGAATCAAATAGCGCCATTAGGTATAGCGAGGTTGACGCAAGTAGACCTCACAAGTGGACCCTTCCTCGTTCTTTTAGTGGATCTCGCCCCCCGACATTCACCTCATTCACCTTATGCTGTCAATCGCATGATGGCCTTACTAAATTGTCGCTTCTGATTGGCTCACTTCCTACTCGATTAGTTCTGTGATTGGCTGAAATTTATGTGCTGAGGCTCTTCAATCGAAAAACCACCGGATAGAAAGGATTATCCGGATTGACACCGCAGTTGATAATTTCAACCAATCCCATCGCTTCATTCCACGATGTTCGTTCGGCAGGAAATCACCAATCCAATCCTCTACTTTCTTCGCCTCGCATGGAACAACTTCCGCAGTCGACGCTTCCGATCTTGACGATCCGCGACTCTGTTCTCTTTCCAGGTGCGTACATGCGCATCGCCGTTGGACGTGAAAGCAGCCTCCGCCTCGTCCAAGACGCTTTGTGGGACGCATTTCACCGATCTCTCGACTCGACCCAGATGAAACCCGTCCTCGTGGGCGTGTTCACGGAGCATGGGGTGAAGGACAACCATACGCTTGGTCAAATAGGCACTGTCGCACGTATTGTCCAGCTTCAACGATCGCGATCGAACCAATCATTTGATTACTCGATGCTGCTCCAAGCCCTGGCGCGAGTTAGCATCGTCGAGTTGACTCAGTCCGATCCATTTCTAGAAGCCACAGTTCAACTGGAAAAGGACACATATGACGGCAAGACCAAAGTTCCTCTTCAGCAACTCATTTCCCAAGTCTCTGCCGGTTTGTCGCTTGGAAAGTCGATGCAGCTGATTGCGCCGCGCTTCCAGAACGACCCGAACATTGGATCCAAGTTGAGCGTGTGGCTAGACATGCTGGCAGCGCATATCCAAGCATCTGCAGCCGAAAAGCAGATGGTGCTCAATGCTGTGAACGTGATTCATCGAATGGAGCTGCTGTGGGCGTTGTTGCAACACCACAAGGGAAAGACTGGCCGCCTGACAATCAAGTCTCAGCCCATGACCGCTGCCGCCGCCCTTCGTGATGCTGAAAACGACGGTTTGAAGGGCAACGACGATGATGATGATGTCCGCTCGTTGGAGAAGAAGATTATTGCACTGCAACCTCATCTGGCCGGAGATACATTCCAAATGGCTGTGCGCGAGCACAGGCGCCTCAAGCGCATGAACGCCAACCAGCCCGAGCATCACGTAATCTTGCAGTACTTGGAGTTCTTTTGCTCGCTGCCATGGGCGAATACCGACGACGAATCCTCCCCTTCCACATCCACGTCACTAGACTTGACGGCGGTACAGACTCAGCTAAACAAAGATCACTACGGCATGCAAAAGGTCAAGTCCCGCCTCGTCGAGTACATGGCCGTGCGCAATTTGACCACGCACAACCCCAAGGCACGCGCGAAAGGGCTGATCCTGTGTCTAGTGGGGCCGCCAGGCGTTGGCAAGACGAGTCTAGCACAGTCGATTGCGACCGCGACGCGTCGAACCCTCCAGCGACTGGCCCTCGGCGGCGTCTCGGATGAGAGCGAGATCCGAGGGCATCGAAAGACGTACATTGGCGCTATGCCAGGTAACGTCCTCATGGCGCTTCACCGTGCCAAGGTATCCAACCCGCTGATCGTGCTCGATGAAATCGACAAGCTCGGTGTCAAGGGCCACTCGGCCAACAACGCAGTCGCTCACGCGCTGCTCGAAGTGCTTGACCCCCAACAGAATGACACGTTCAAAGATCACTACTTGAACGTCCCATTTGACCTTAGCCGTGTCATGTTTGTCGCGACCGCCAATTCGCTGGACACGATTCCCCGCCCGCTCTTGGACCGGATGGAAATCGTCCAGATTGAAGGGTACACGACGATGGAGAAACTCGCGATTGCAGAACAGTACATTGTGCCGCGCCAAGTGCAGGATCACGGACTCACGGCGCCCCTTGAGTTCACGACGGATGCGCTGCAGTACGTGATTGCCCATTATACACGAGAGGCTGGCGTACGAGACCTCCAGCGCAAGGTACGAACTGCTTGTGCGCGCGTTGCTGACTGATGGGGGGGGGTATTGCAGGTTGGCTCAATCTGTCGCCATGTAGCCGTGCAAGTGGTGAACGGAGAGACCCCTGCCGAAGTGGTCAGCGTCGACATGGTGAAAGAGGTCTTGGGCCAAGAAACCGTGCGAAACGAAGTTGCTCTGCGAGCTGGTGTGCCAGGCGTGTCGACAGGTCTGGCATGGAGCAGTACCGGTGGCTCGATTTTGTTCGTGGAGGCGTCGGCAGTGCTCAAGTCATGGAACAACTCCCCCTGTGACGACAGAACCCACGCTGGCAGCAGCTCCAGTCCACTTGGTCTGACACTCACAGGCACGTTGGGCGATTGTATGAAAGAGTCGGCACAACTGGCTGTCACGTGGCTCAAAGTACATTTACCCTCGTTGCATCCAGTGGATCTCGCCAAAGTGAGTGAGTTTCACATCCATTTCCCCGAAGGCGCGACCCCCAAAGACGGTCCCTCTGCAGGAGTCGCGATCGTGTGTGCATTGGTGTCGGTACGTCCTTTCGATCTCTCGCCCGATCGTCTCAAGAATTGTTTTGGTTGTGTCAGGTGGTGACTCAACGGGTTGTCCCTGTGGACTTGGCCATGACCGGCGAAATCACGTTGCGTGGTGTAGTTTTGCCTGTGGGAGGCATCACCCAAAAGGTTCATGCGGCCGCCCGCGCCGGCATCTCGCGCGTGCTTTTGCCGTTGGCCAACAAGAAGGACGGCGACGACGTCCAGGCGACTTTGCCGTCGATCGAGTTGATTTACGTCCACACGATTGCAGACGTCCTGCGCGTGGTGTTCAACCTCCCGCTGTCCGATTCGGACGAAGCAGTCGCGACGTCCACGACAAGTAGTCGCTTGTAGCACCAACACGTCGACTGATTCTGATTCTGAGTTTGACCTCAGTGGATCTGATTCTGAGTCGCCCCGACCGGGTCGTTACAACGACAAGGGCGTAAACGCGTTGAACACGTACGAGTAGTACTCGGCGACGGCGGCCCCGCTCGAGGTGTCGTCGACAGCGGCAAATTGCGACGGCTGGAGATGCTCGTAGCGCTTGTCGAGTACTTGACGGAGCTTCTTGTCGCGGCCGTTCTTGACCTTGTACAGCAACGCGACAAAGTTGACGGGCAGCCCATAGCGAAGCACCGACTCGACAAACGTGCGAACGGCCTTGATATGCATCCACGCGATAAAGGTCTCGCCAAAATGGGCTTTGCACCATCGCAAGAGTCCCGAGTACAACCGGTTCACCTACACCGAAACAGCCCCCGACATACAGGAGGAGGTTATTCTTTGCACGTCGCAAGCGAACGCAGCCGTACCTCGACTTCCAATTCCGCCACCATCGTCTCGTTGGTCGCGTGGGAGGTCGGGTCAAAGGTGAAGTCGCGCGCCGTGAAGCGCTTCTCACGCGCTGCTTGCTTGAACTTCTCCACGTAATCCAACAACGTGCCTGGTTCAAAGTTTCCGTCTTGGTCGTACGACCCAGATTGGTATTGTCCCTTGAGAATTGTCACCGTGTACAAGCACGCGTCGCCTTCTTCTAGCAGTTTTCTGCGCCCGAATGGTTACACACCCGATCGGTTGTCGAATGACCACATACCGCGACGAGTTGGGAACGACGGGGGAGCCCTTGACCGTGCCCCGCGATTGCTTGGGGCCGTATTCGGCAATGCCGTCGCCAATCGTTGCATACTCTTGCAACCACACTTCTTCTTGCGACCTACAAAACATGAACGGCATGACCGCACGACTCTAATGGGAGGCGTGCGACCGTACTTGGGGACGACAACCACGAGAGTTTGCAAGTACTCGGTATTGACAAAGTCGGATGTTTTGACGATGTCGGGGGTCAGAATTTCCGCCAGGTTGGTCACGAGCAAGTTGCCACTACCTCACAAACGAAGTCATGACAGGCTTGTCAGGGTCATCATGCGTGCAAAACCAACCCCTTTTTCTTTTGGTGGAGCGACAACTGCTGCTTCTTCTCCGTGTAGCGTGTGCTGAGCTGCTTCAGCTCTTCTTCGATCTTGCCAATCGACTGCATCCAACAAAGGAAGATGAGCGCGAGTACGTGACAAGGAATGGGGTAGATTCATCTACCGATTGAATGATGGACACAATCTCCGACAATGGGCGACGGTGGGGATGCTTCGCTTCATCCCACGAAAAGTGATGCAAGTAACGTTCCACGGGAACTACGGTTGCGTCCATCAGTCGTGAAGAAGCATATTCAGTGATTGAAGTACCGCCATCGACAGTGAGCGCTTCGCCTCCCTTGTTCAGTTCGTAGAATTGACGCTCGATCTTCCGCACTGCGCCTTCCACGACAAGATCAACGCGTTGCATGTCCTCGCCAAGAGTCTACGGAGGAAGGATCGATCAAGAACCGCTCTTTGTACACACACGCGGAACGTACCATGAGCGAGTCCAATGTGCCGACAAGCAAGTCCGACGGCAATTCCAAGCGGAACAGCTCTGTCATCGCGACGTGGCATGAGTCCGTCGACGATCTTACATGACAACTTCGTACCGGCCAAGTCATTCTTCGACGACGCGGTTTCTGCTTTGAGCTCATTGAAGGTCGAGTCGCTTGAGTTGTTGCCTTCGTTCGGCACCGCTACAATCCAATAGCTCATGACGAACGCTGCCTTCTTCCGTAGTCAATCCGCGTGGGTTTGGCGCAGTCATCCGGATAATCCCATCATCGCCTTCCCCTACTCTAATTAAAATGTACGAAGGCATCAGTGTAAGACAGTCGTATTTTTCTAATATTGGTGATTTATCCGGATGTCGTCGCCTGTGCGGCTGAAATGGCCTTAATTTTAGCCAATCAAATGCATTGCAAGATCGCCAATATGAAATATGGGGATGACTGACACCAGGGCAATCGGAGATGGAGGAAATCCTGCCGCCGCACGCATCGCCGTAGACAAGAGAGACCTAAAGCAGCCTCTATTAATACTTAAAATTCTTGGTCGTCCTCCATATCGTCGGCATTCTTGCGCCGTTTCGCTGCGCGTTGCCCATCTATTTCACGACTGCCCGTGAGAGTCGACTTCGCCTCCGCACTCACCTACCTTGAATGGAATTGAGATCTCGCGAGGCTTTCGCGCGAAGCGTTTCCAGGTCATCTGCATCCTCTGCCCACTCCAAGACCAAGTGGCGGCCGTACAAATGTGACGACGACAGCGCGGCGAACGCGCTCGTGGCTTCCGCCTCGGTAAGGAACTCAATAAAGGCAAACCCTAGCCAGAGGCCTATCACGAACGAGCCGGCACGGTGTTTTACCTCGATGCTTTCCGTCGAATTTCTTGGGCATGCGTACAGTCTTGAGCTGCCCAAATGCGGCAAACAGCTCGCGGACGTCCTTCACTGTGGCTTCGAACGCAATGTTGCGGCAAATGACTTTGGTTTTGGGGGTTTCAGTCTTGGCTGGCTTAGCTTTCACGGGCTGGAGTTGCTTCCTCGATAACTTAATATCCATGGCGTGTCCTTCAAGCAAGTTGCCTTGCAACATTTGCATGGCATTTTTCGCGGCCGCCGACGTGCTGAATTCGACAAAGCCAAACCCCATCGAGAGATTCAACTTCCCGTGGCGGTCTTTCTTGCGCGCGATCGTCACTTTGCGGAGAGTGCCATACTACAGCGCATCGGTGAACTCGATCTCGTTCATAAAAGGAGGACCAAGTTCGTACCTTTTCAAACGCGGCCTTCAGCACGGCCTCCGTCGTTGAAAAGTTGAGATTCTTCACGCACAGCGTGTTGTCCAGCTCGGTCACGTTGTCTGCCTCAACGTCTGGTCGTGCCGCCGACGCGCCACCACCGCTGGTGCTGTTCCCGGCCGCCTGGCGCACGGCATCAGTCCACGGCGCCAAAGTTGCGTGGAGAGGGAAGTGGTTGGTACCTTGAGCTTCTCGCTGTACGTCATGGTCGCCGGTGCCTTGAACACTTTGACGGGCGCCCATTCCAAGTATAACGGAACGTGCTGGAACTTCTTGTACGCGAGCGTGCGAAATGCTTTGCGAGCCTCGGACGGCTCCATGAATTCGACTAGCGCCATCGTTTTTGACGGTGGCAGGACGAACCGGGCGAGTTCGCCGTGAGTGCGAAACAGCTGTGCCAACGCGGTTTCGTCTGTCGAAAAAGGTAAGTTCTTGACCAGGAGCACCGTGTTGCTGCGCTCAGCATTCGATTTCTTGGCCGCCGCGCCTTCCATGACCTACAAACGAAGCAGTGAGACCCACTGCAAGGTTCCAAACCATTGGATGAAGCCATGAGTAGGCAGGACCTTGACATCGACTCCTTCTTGTTCAAAAAACGCTTGGTTTTCCTGGAGCAAAATGGTCTCCCCAATGGCTAGTCGCACCGCCATGTTGCCCGACTCCTTGTCCAAAATGTCGCCTTTGTTCACCTACATGTACGCAAGCAGCAATCGCTTAGCACCATCGCAACTCCGTCCAAGGGAGCAGTGGTGCAAGCCAAGTTCGATGACCGATGGCTTGATGGCCACAACCCATGGACACTCTCGTTGGGGTACCTGCAATCGACTGGCGAGGGCATCAACCGTCGCATCTCCTCGAATGTACGAAGCATTCCAGCCAACTTTCGTGTTGGCAAGGGCCTTTCGCTCGGCTTCTTTTCGCTGCTTGTACGTCAAGGTAGAGTTGTCGGACGTGTCGACGACGGGCTCGAGTTTGGCCTTGGCTGGCAGGACGTGCATCAATCGTCCTTGGAACGGCTTTCCGTCCAACGCCGCTCGCGCCGCCTCGGCTTCCGCTGTCGTTTGGAACAAAACAAATCCAAACCCCTTCGTCCGTTTGTTGTCGTCCAGGGGCATGTGGAGCTCGACGATCGTGCCGTAGCCAGCAAACAACTCAGTCAAATCTTCTTCGACGCAGCTGTATGGCAGATTGCGAATGAACAAGCGCGGCGACGACTCGACCGCCTCGCTCGTATCTCCTTGTTTTGGGACCTTCTTCGTGCTGTCGAGTTTGGTCACGGCGTTGTCGTCATCGCTGAGTTCACCACTGGGTTCGCCGTCTTGGCTTTCGTCATCGCTTTCGCCACTACTGACTTCGCCGTTGTCTTCTTCATCACTGTCGATCATGCGACGCACAGTCTTGGACTTCAAAAATTCCAAGTCGGTCATGGGCTTTTTGGTCGTCGAGGCTTTGGATTTGTCCATGCCTTCGTCCCCACTGTCGTCATCGCTATCTTCATCGCCGGCCTTGACGTCGTGAATCTTGTCCAGGTCCTGGTATTCTTCATCTGACTCATCGCCGCCAGTTAGGTCCGCCTTCATCCTGTCCGTCGCAGAGCCGCCTTCAGTATCCACCACGTCGTCGTTTGCCCAGAACTTGGTCTTTGAACGAGGCTGCATCGTCTCTACAAACTCATCAAACCCTCCTGTTTCCTTGGGTGTTTTGTCCTTGGTGACTTTTGCTGAGTTCAGGTCAACCTTGCTCGTGTCTTCGTCCACAGCAACGACGTCCTTCTCCTTGTACCGCGAGCTGCCTTTCGAGTACTTGCTCCATGGACGGTCGAGTTCCTCCGACTCGCGTGGCTGGGCCACCTTTACATTGATGCGTGTTGTGTCAATGAACGACTTGTCAAAGAACTTTTGTGCAGCGGTCGTTTGAGCTTCTGTTTTGAATCCGACAAACCCAAAGCGCCGGGACTTGCCCTCTTTCGTCTTGACAACGCATGCATCTGTCACTTCGCCGTGCGCACCAAAATGCTTTCGCAACTTCTCATCGTCCACATACAACGGGAGGTTCTGCACAAACAACCGAGTGCTCATCGCGGCGCGGCCGACGCTCGTGCAAGAGTATGGCTGCAACTTGACTCCACCAATCCAAACCATTCCACCGGCCAATCAGCGGCAATGACTAACATTCTACATCAAATGAACGTCGCATTTTCATCTATTTGAATCCTTTCACTTCTCTATTTCATGTATCTGGTATGCTGGACGGCGACTTAGCAATTGGGGAAGATAATACTATTTCACGTTGCCAACTGCATGGGTTCAGTCTTCAATGTAGTTCGTGCTGAGTTAAGCGTGGGTTCGCTTGCGTTTCTTGATCTGAGTGACCTTGGCGCTTTCAATGATGTCGTTCTTTCGTTCGCGCCACCGAAGGAAGTCCTGTGCATCGTTTACCCCAGCGGCGTACAAATCCTTTTCGAACTCTGTGAGTTTTCGAGTGAACTCGGTCGTGTCTTCGTCGAAAGAGTTCATGGACTGGTCCAGAATCTGCTTGTACCGCTCGCTACCAAACGCGATGCGCAAGATGTCTTCAATGTCTTGTGAATCCGACTCGTTTGTCAAGAGTGGCAGCAAGACTTTTCCCAATTCAAAGAAGTACGGGTTCATATCGCGCAAGTTGGCTGCAGATGGACCTGCCTTGATCACATTGCGATATCGTGCACTAAGGCACGTTGGGACGAGCACCTACGTGCATATGAAGAACGTCAACTTGGAGTCGCACTTCACCAGCGCATTGCCTTACATCGACCGTGCCATGCTTTGCCAATGCCGTCGCCAGCCACACAGGCAGCTCGAGTTTTGTGTTCGGCTTGATGTCATCCCCTTCAATGGAAGGGTCCATGTACCCGCATCCCGCTGCCTCAGTCTGGAACACGCACTGGACGCGCTCTTCTTCGGCTAGAAGTTCCTCGACGCTGTAATACCCCATGCGGTCAAGTTGGTTTATACATGATGTCCGGTTAATTGGAAATATATTGGGAATGTTCTCCGGTTACTGCGTTCGTTGCAAATTTTAGGAATATCACATTATTTTTGGAATCGATCCGACCATGTTTGAAGTGAGTTCAACAAATATCCGTTGCTACAAAAACTCAAACCAACGACAATATTTACATATGCAAATATTTAAAGAATTATCAAAGTTGTCCTGGTGAAAAAAATAGCCACAGCTACGGCCGAACGATCCTCAGCGAAACTGAGGTTTGAGCACCATGTAGCGACCATCGACAGGGTCTTCTTCGACGTCGCAAATTGTGCGGACGATGTCTCGAAACAAAGCCTTGTCGTCCGCAGTCACGAGCAACTTCTTGAGCTTCTTGATCAAATCCTTCGTCTTCATGCGGCCACCATAACGAATGAGCTCTTCTTGGATGAGGGCTTCCGTCAATTTGGGGACGGCCGAAGCCTTCGTGGTTGGCGCAGTTTGGTGCTTTTTTGCGCCTGGTTTATCTCCATCGTCAACACCATGCTTGCGTTTCAACGAGTCGGCCTCGGTCGAAGTTGCGGCAGCACCACTTGCTGCTGCAGCGCCATTTCCATCGGCTCCGGCCGCCGTCACGGCCGGGACAGTCTCCTTGACAGGATTGCCGTAGAAGTCAAAGCGCTTGACTACGGTCGTATCCTTGTCCTGCTTTGTCTCGTCGTCGGAACTGTCATCGCGGTTCGCGTCTGCCGTGGCAGCCGCCGTTGGGTTCTCGCTTTGTTCCTTTGTACGCTTCACCAAATCCTGGAGCGCCTTGCCTTCGTCGGTCAGGGGCTTCTTGGTTGCGTCGTCCTCAAATTCATCCTCGCTGCTCTCGGACGCGACGTCGTTTTTAGTCTTTTCCACTTCTTGCTGCCCTTCGTCGTCACTGAAAATTTCAGTGAAATCGCCGCCGTCATCACCAGTCGCATCCACTTCGCTTGCTCTCTTCGCAATGGCGCCGCCACGACGTCGTGGTGCCTTGGGCTCGGCAAATATAGTGCCACCATCGTCGTCGTCAGGCGGCTTAACAGTGCGCAGGGCGCCCGTGATCATCGACGTCGACGGAGCGACGTCATTCCCATCCTTCTTCTCGTGCTTCATCACCCAACGCTCGACTGCGCGCTTCTTTTCCACCGCCAAGCTCTCAGCTTCTTGCAAAGTCAGGGTCGGATACGAGATAGGCTTCTTGAATCGGAACCAGTCCTCCACAGGAAACATCTGAAACTCGTTCTTGTTCGGGACCTTCACCATCAACATGTACGACGATGTGACACCGCCTTCCACCGTACCGGAGAACAGCGTCTTCGAGTCGTTTTCTTGGATGATCCAGTTCTTAATACGGTTGTCTTTGCGTCGTCGTCGTCGTTTCTTCCGCAAAGCAGGGTTCCATCCTTGTGGCTCTTCCTTGACCTCCTCATCGTCCTCGATCTCCCGGTCAGGTTCCTTGAACATCTTGATAGGCTGCACACATTTCGACAACGTTGGCATTTGACCTTCGTTGAATCTTCCAATATTGTACTGCTTGATCGACGGGATGAACCGAAGCGTAAAATCCTCGTCGAAAGTCTGGGAGTTGTTGGCGGCTGGTAGCGAGTTCGGTCCTCGTCCCACCAGCGATGTCGTGCCGCGCGAAGACCCCACGCCAAGGCGGCGCGGCGCCGAATCTGGTTTTCGTCCCAACGGGATCATACGTCCCTCGTGTGTAAAGCAAAAATGGCGCTGTGTGGCGCTTGCGTTTCGATTTCAACCACGGCGGAATTAGATATCATTTTAGCCAATCAAAACCGTACTCTAGAGGAATAATAACTAATGACGTTTCTTGATCGAATTTCAAGGGTTATGGTTGGATGATATGCAACAAATAAATTCCAACACGTGCAATGCTTCCACTCCTTCGCAAGCCATGTCGCTGCTCGGGGCAGACTACAGCAGCGGCAGTGACTCGTTCGACAACGACGAGGTCGAGCACGTGGCTCGTGTAGAGAAGGAACCGTCGATTGTTCTTCCGCGAGTGGACGACATCTTCAAGGAAACCAAAGCTCCGTCCTTCCTCGTCAAACCCAAAAAAGCTTCGTTGGACGTGTTTGACATCGACAAGGAAACACTGACCAAGCTCCCACCGCCTCCCATGGAGCTTGCGCAACGAAGGACCCATGATAGCACCGACACACCTCCTGAAGCCAAAGCAAAGGTGGGTTCTATGTTCGAGTTTCCCGGTGTCGATCAAGATATTCCGAAGCGAACAAAGCACTTGCCACGCCACCATCAAAAGCAGTCGGGTGAGAGCAACTCGCACAAGCGAAAAGGCGGCGACGGGGATAAGACCAGTGGCAAAGATCGCGTCAAGCAGCAGCGTCTTAAGGGTCAGTCGGGAATTGGCAGCGACTTCAAGACATGGAAATCCGAGACAGAGATGAAAATGCGCCAGGGTTACGACTAAACACAAACGCTTTCTACCTACATGCCTTCGATCGTGGCGCTCTCGGGACAAGCCACGTCCTTTGTCCAAATGCGCCGACGGACCAGTCGTTCGGATGTGCACACGTGCCGTTCTACAACAGAGTCTCTTCCTCGTGCACTGGAAGGACTCTTAACGTCGCAATTCAGCATTCAGTTTTCGTAAATTTAGATGGCATCAATATCCAGTGGCGATAGCTTCAGGAGGCTGTCTTGGGGCATGTCAAATTCTGGGAACGCTGCGCATGCGGTTTTGTCGGATGCAGGCGGCTGCACAGCAAGGGCGCCGAGCTTCTCTTCGAGAAACTTGGCTTGGTTCACCATTCGCTCCTTGTCTTTTTCCTGGAGTTGCTGCAGGAGCTGGTCGCTGACGGCGTCCATGGCGTCGTCGTCGTCGAGTGTGCAGTCTTCGCGACTGGACACGTGATGAGGCAGCTTGCCCGGGATCACATTCACAACCTTCTTCACCGTGCCTTCGCGCACTTGCATCCACGTCATCCACATCTCGTCGATGTCTTGCGGCGCCTGCTCCAGGAGCCAGCCCATCTGCCGCCTCGTCGTGTCCAAGACTGGATTGAATCCCATCTGTGTCGCGCCAGAGCGCAACCAATGCAGGTCTAGCACCATGAACGCCATGCTGAAGAGGCGCTCGAACGCCTTCGGGTCGTCAAACACCTTCCAAAACGGCGTGCGAGACACACGTTCGGCGACTTGCATCGTCAGGACGGTGTCGACGCCCGTTTCAGAGTGCAGGATCAGCGAGCTGCTCGTGGCAGGGGCGGCATCCAGCATGAGGAGTTTCAACATCATCCGCATCACATTGATCGCGGCCACCGGGAACGGGTATCGGTTGCCACCGGACAGGGCGTTCTTCGCCATCATCGTCTGCGCTTTATCCTTGTACTCGTGGACAAAGTAGACGAGGCATTCAAGCGACAAGAGGCCACCGCCGCGGAACCCGCCGAGCGGATCCTTGGTGTGGAACCCGCTCTGCAGCCACCGGGACGACCGAAGCAAGGCCGCCACGTCGACGGTTGAGGCAGTTTCCAGTGCCAAGTTGGCCGAGTAATCTGCAGCGTGTTCGTCCAGCGGAAGGAGACCGTCCCACAGCTTCTTCAGCATTGTGGCATGGTACTCCTGCGTGATGTCTATGTGGACGTCCAACCGACTGCGCACGCCTTCCATCGTTTCGACTTTGGCTTGTAACTTGGATCGACGCACCGTCATTTCCTCGCGCACGTCGTGGAGAATCGTTGCTTGGTTCAGGATCAGTAACTCGACAACGCCTGCACCCTCTTCGGCTTGTTGCTTGAGTTTGCGCATTGCCTGGGCTTCGGCAGCGAGGCGTTCAGCAATCTCGCTCGGGTACTCGTTGTACACCTACGCACATAGACTCAGTCCCCACTCGTTCCCAGCGTTTGCGTGGAGATAGACGTACTGTCGACGGAAACCGGTGCTTGACAGGTACATGCCCGGCCAAAGGGAATCGGCGGGTGGCAGGTTCATCCAGTTCCGAGAATCGGTACGGCCTCGTCGCTCGGAGAAGGAGCGGCGCGAGGAGGAGACTCAAAGACTGTGGGTTCAGGCCATTCTTCGAACTCATGTCAGGCTCTAAGGCGCGCGAGAACAAGTGCAAGAGGCGTTCGAGCATTGGCTTGACAAACCACGGAAGGTCGTTGACGAGGAGTCGAAGATGGCGCACCGCTTGTTTGTCGTCTGGTGCCTTGGCCGCGGCAAGGAACGCATCAACTCGATCTTCCGTGAGCAACGGGTCCGGCAGCTCCCACAGGTATTGCAGGAGGACGGAAATGACTTCATGCGGATCGATCGCCATGCTCTTGTGGAACCCACCGAGCTCTTCAATGGCGTCACGAAGGTCCAGCACGTGCTCCGATGCAAGATGAACTTGGAAGAGGCCGGGGGTGGCCAGTTTCCGATGCAAGTAGCACACGCACGCTTCGACTACGTCCGGGAGCCCCAACGACGTGTCGAAGCGAGCGAGGCCGCACAAGAAGGGGTTGCACACAACTTCGAGCAACGGCGCGCCAAACACGTCGTACTCGGGGAGACCGATCTCGAGGAACCGCAAGACGGCCGACGTGGCGTCATCTAGGGCCTGGGACGTCTTGGCCTTGAGCAGCACATCTGCTAGTGGATTCCCATTCGTGGACTTGTCAAATTCGTGGTTGAGTTGACGGTACGACATCAACTTGGCCGCGAGGAGATTGCATTCGTAGTCCTCGCCGGAGAGACGAACGCGGCCCTGCACCATGTCCTCAGGGTCAATCAGGTCAGCGGGCGGTGCCGCGGCGACTTGCGCCATCGGTTTGGGCAATGGGGTGAGGAATGGCTGGATGTCAGGCGAAAGATCCAAGCGCGGGTCATTCACGAGAAAACCGAACGAGAGCGTGTCGAGGCCGTCGAGCAACTCGAGAAACACAGCGACCTCTTCCTACCCACGAGACGTTATGGCGCAAGTATGGCAATCGTGAAATGGATCGCTTGTACCTTTTGGCGGAACAGGGCATGCTCGGTGAAGTAGGACACGAGGAGGTCTTGGTTGGCGTCGTTGAGGGTCACTTTCATGCATTCCAAGAGGATGTGCGTGTTGAGTGCTTGGCGAATGAATGCCCGCACCTTTCCTTCGTCCTGGTGAACGTTGGACAGATCATTTGCGGTGCGAACACACGCGAGAAACCCGCGCACGTTGCGTGGAAGCTCGGGCTCCAACGATGAAGTGGCGAGCTGCACGGCTTGTTTGGACAGGTTTGCGCTTCCCGCACCGTCCTCGCCGCACGCCATGCGCTGTTGATGGATCGCGCCCAATCGAGTGCACGTCCACTTAAGCAAACCAAAGAACTTTACTGTTTGCTGGTCGTCGTTCTCTACGCGGCGCAGACCATGCGAAAAACATCGATCCAACGTCGCGCACAATTTGGATACAGCGGGAAGGTCGTCGTTGAGAAGAAGCGGTTTCTTGTGCTTGTCGTCGTCGGTGCTCTCCATTGTGACAGATGATGCAGCATGCGCTTGCGCGGCTTGTTGTTGTTGGAGCACCAGCTGCAGAACTTCGGCCACGGAAGCCTTGAGGTCATCAAGAATGACGCCACGTTGGCTGCGGCTGAGGAGGCGAAGCTTCGCCTGGCGACGCTCGCGGTTGAACTTCTGCTCCTCAGTCTCTTCGACATCACTGGGGGCGCCCCAGTACGCACTCAGTTGTCGCCAAAGGTCCATCGACAGCGCAACAACAAGCTACCAAACGCAGAATGCGCACGATATGATGGAAAGATCGCTTCGCTTCAACTATACGATTTGATTGGGCAAAATTAGGCCATTCGAATTTCGAAAAATAGTTTAAAATCCCCAACTTTTAGCCAATCGAGTCTTTGCCAGACGTTCGCCCCCAGCCAGCCGCCCCGGCGTATCAAACCAACAGCTAAATCCACAACATCGATCGCTCGGCCTTGACCACCCCCTTTCTGAAGCACTCCACGGCGAGTTAACTAACGACTGTTCTGCCCCTGACGAGTTGTTACTCGGGGGGGGACTCTGGGGGCTTGGGCTCCGACGGAGACCCCGAGGAAGGGGTGAAGAACGTAAGGTTGGTGGCGCTGTAATGGTACTCGTCTTCATCCAAGGGGGCTCAAGCCTTATGGTTTAATGAATGCTACTAGCACTCACTCGTTGAGCTCGAACAACGGCCGCCAGTTCGTTCCGACATTGACGGATGTCGCAGTGATGGCGAGATTGGGAAGAACCTAAAGAGTAAATCCCAATACAAATATCAAGTAGGCCGGATGTCCTTGGTGCATTGACGAGGCCAACTCATGCACGAACACTTTGGAATTGAATGCCATGGCGACGCAACGCCAGAAACCAAACATGATCTTCATCATGGCCGACGACCTCGGGTGGGCAGACCTGAGTGTGTATGGCCAAGTCGACTACACGACGCCTCGTCTCGACCAACTCGCTGCGCAAGGCATCCGGTTCACCCAAGCCTACGCCAACTCTGCCGTGTGTTCGGCAACGCGTTTCGCGCTCATGACAGGAAGATACCAGTACCGGCTGCCAGGAGGCTTGGAGGAGCCGATCCCAACGTCGGTAGGACCTCGTGGTCCGATTGGATTGCCGCCAGACCACCCAACACTTCCGTCCATCCTTCGCGACGCTGGCTATGACACGGCGCTCCTCGGCAAGTGGCATCTCGGGCCACTACCCACCTTCGGCCCGCTGAAAAGCGGATACGATCGCTTCTTTGGTAACCTAAGCGGCGTGATCGACTACTTCACACACAAGCCTGGTGTCGGCGACCACGTCGCGCGCGATCTGTGGGAGGGCGAGACTCCCGTCCATCGTGTGGGGTACTACACGCAGATCCTGGCGGACGAAGCGTCTGCATTCGTGACGGATCCGGATCGCACGAAGAAGCCGTTTTTCCTGTCGCTTCACTTCACGGCTCCGCACTGGCCTTGGGAAGGTCCAGACGATGAAGAAGTGTCCAAAAACTTAACGAGCATCTTCCATTACGACGGTGGCACCCAAGCCACGTACGGCCGCATGGTCGAAGCATTGGATAAGTCCGTGGGCCAGGTCTTGGATGCCCTTGAAGGGGCAGGACTTAGCGACAACACGATTGTCGTGTTCACGAGTGACAACGGCGGCGAACGGTTCAGCAAGACCTGGCCGTTCACGGGGCAAAAGACGGAGCTTCTCGAGGGCGGTCTGCGGGTGCCGACCATCATGCGGTGGCCCGCAGGGCTGCCGACGCCGTACGTGTCGACCCAGGTGATGGCAACGATGGACTGGCTGCCGACGCTGCTCGCCGCCGCTGGGCTCGAGCCGACCCGCGAATTTCCCACGGACGGCGAGAACTTGCTCCCGATTCTGCAGCATCGTGCTCCAGAGCACGACCGAACGCTCTGTTGGCGGTACAAAGCGCACGGACAACGCGCGATTCGCGACGGCAAGTACAAGTACCTCAAAATCAACGACAACGAGTTTCTGTTTGACATTGTCGAGGATCCCCGCGAACGCGGCAACTTGAAAAATCGGCTGCCCGATGTGTTTCGCAAGCTCAAGCAACTCTGGTCCGACTGGGACGCCACCATGCTCGCGATGAACGAAGGGACGTACACGCACGGCCTCACGCCACCGATCCAAGCCGATCGGTACGCGCCTCAAGATCTAACGCCCCCAGTGAAGCCAACATAAGGCGCGGCGTCGATAGAGCTCGACTTGGTCGTGTCCAGTGTGTCCTTCTTGAATGTACTGGTGCATTGTCGATTGCGAGGCGTACATATGGCGCATGTGATGCGAATCGTTGCTGTGATGTATCGAAAGACTGCGCCATTCGACGAGGATAAAGTGTAGTGTGGGTCCTCTTGGTTTTCTTGTATTCGTGTCGTCGAGACGTTGGTCGCGAAATCGACGCCCCTGGGCTACAGTTGAATGCTGTTGATATCCTGTAAGCGGGGCTTGCAACTTCGTTTGATTCGAGGTGCTATGTGGGCGGTCTTCCTCGCAATGGAATTGCATCCTGGGATCATGGACATGGAGTTTATGTGGGGCGAACTCGAGGGACAGGACTCCGTTGTCTCCAACAGCACTGCATTCCATGGGATGCTTGTGTCTCCGAGATGGCTGGAAGTTTCTGCGTGTGATTCAACACACCTGTAAGACGAACGATCGCTGGAGTGCCGTGGGGGATAGGCAAACATTGCGTCGGGCGCCACCGGTGACCCAAGTGCATGCGCAAACAAGGTCGCTCGAACGGAAAATGGTTCGCATGGGGAGGCATTAAGTTAAAAGCCTCGCTTTTGTTTCAACGTTTTGACTGCTTTCGGCGCCGGAACAACGTTGTCGGGGTCATCTTCATGCAAAATGTAATGCGTCTTGTCCGGCGAACCGTGCAGCTTGGGGTGCCTGGAAGCGATGACGTGGCGGTCGCAGCAGCCGCCGCCGTTTCTGGCCCAGCAGCAACAGCAAATCGAGTACAGATTCGTCTTGGTTGGAATGTGCTCTTTCACCCAAGCCAACGCGTCGTACGCATCGCCTTCTTGGAACTGATAGTTGATCCATTCGTGCTTTGGCAGGTGCGGGTTGTTGTCCGTCTCGCCGATCATGTGGTTGCACGTGTTCAAGTACACATACGGCCGAGCCGAGTTGCTTGCGATGTGCCATTCTTCCACCGGGACTTCCGTCTCGTAGTGATGCATGAGGGAAAACCAGTTGCAAATGTTGGCTTTGTCTCCTTGCGACCATCGCTGCGCCTACACAAGACGCGATGATGAGACGGCGCATGCGCCAAACAGTACCCCCGAGTGATCTTCGGTGTAGATGCTTTGCCACGGTTGCGCTGCATCTGGAGTGAGGTCGACGCCACGGAATTCCATGTAGTTGATGTCCGCCGTGCGTTCGTATGCGTGTCGGTTGAAAGACCGGTACAATAGCGTGGCGAAGGAGTTGTGTTTGTGTTCGTGCTTGCGATTGTACGAGGATTCGCCAGCAAAGATGACACAGAGGTGGCATGACAGCGTCGCGTCCATCGAGTTGCGGTCGAACGCATAGAGGATCTTGATCAGATGGTTCTCGTTATCCAGGTCAACCTGGGGTTGGACGAATACAGGCAGACAGCGCCGTAGCCACTTGGTCTCGTCATTCTCTGGCTGGCCAGCCAAGCGAGCTTCCCGGTCCATCGTGTACAGAGTCGGCGCGGATGCCATGGGACCCCAACGTCGGCGGTTTTGCACCCAGTGGAACACACAGCATTACGATACGCATTATATTGAAAGAATTTTATCAAGCTTGTATTTTGTATTCGATTGCTGTATTCATTTTTATTATTCCGATGGCATCGGCGACGAAACGCCGCTGCGAAGGTCGCCGCTGCATGCCCCCATGCGGGAGACCACCCCGACAAGACGAAGGACTTTCGCACAGGCACGCAAAGACGAACTCGTGAACGTAAGCTTGGCCCGTGTGCGTCGGGACGCCGTTAGAACTCGCTATTCCTGTGTCAGTGTAGTCTTGGCATTGGTCCACAGCATGGTGCGATGGCATCTACAGAGCACGGAAAGGAAGGTGCGCCACACTCACAATACATTATCGAATACACCGTAGCGTACACTACGGGGCCGTTTTCGCTTTTACTTCTTCATTCAGGTGGCTCGTGTGGAAGCCCAAAATCACAAACGCCCACAGATGCAGCAGCACGAGATACCCCAATAAAGCAAGTCGGGCTTCAGGGTACGCCCGAAGGAATCGCCCCACGCTTAGAAGCCATCGATCCACGGCTTCCACTAGACATCCCGTGAGGTTCCTTGTCCTCTTGTGGCTGCATCATGGGGGACACGTACAAGCTGCGACCTTGTGGGGCGCTGGGCGCGGTCGACCGTGGTAGTTTCCGCCGCGAGGGGTCCGTACAGATCGAACACTTAGCTCCAAGTCGTCATTCTAGATGTGGAATGAGATTCCCCCGACACGCATGCTCTCTACCTTGTCTTGGGCATCTTTGGCGGCCTTCAGGTCATTGAATCGAACCTCCAAGGTCGTGTATCGACCTCGTAGCGCATCCAGCTGCTCTTGCTTTTCGAGGAGTCGCCGAGTCATGGCTTGCATTTGTCCGTCAGGTGCCACCGCCGCCATCAACGGCACAGAAGGGGTCGGCTTCGACTGCAACGCAGCACGGTCCTGCAGTTGCTGCTGCAAGTTCAACACGGTCGCGTGATGGGACGCTTCCTTTTGCACCAGCATAGTCTGTAGCGCTGCCATATCGCCCGTCAACTTGTGGATTTCTTGGGCTTGCAGCATCGCTTTGCGGCATTCTTCGTGGAGCAACTTCTTCGTCGACGCCAGGGTTTCCTGTGCTTCCTGAAGGGCACGGTGTGCGTGCGTCGGGCTCTACGCCGCCGCCACGTCAAAATCAGGACGACGGTACGCAACAGCGTACTGGGGCCGACGGTTTTGCGCTGTGTTCGCGCTTTGCGACTAGTGTGGTGAGCTCTGCATTGGTCGCCTCGAGGGTGCATTGCCTTGCATACATGGATTGCTTTGCGTCTGCGTACTCCTTCTTGAGCTGCGCATGGGCGACCGCTGCATCTTTGAGCTCTTCTTGCAGGGAAGCCACCTGTTGTAGTAGCTGCGCCTCTCCGCTAGACCCAATTTGGTTGCTGTGCAAAAACATGGAGAACGTGTACCTCGCCGCGTGAGTCCACGCTTCTTCCCTTGTGTTCGTAAGCTCTTCGATGGACTGCTTCAGCTTTGCCGCCTCGGCGACATGTCTATCGCATCGATGTGAGGGAAATTGAGGGCGGAAGAACATGAAAATGCGCACTCTTGGACGAGCTGTTTGTATGATGCCAGATCTGCCTCAAGGGTGTGAACATGGGCGTCTTTGACACCGAGAGCGGCAACAAATTGAGCTTCATCGGCAGCTTTTTCGCGTCCCATTTGAGCAATCTAGCGTCGTTGGGAAATAGCGACGGATGGAGGTGAACACGCACTTGCTGTTCGAGACACTTGATCTTGTCCATGCATTCCTTGTCCAGAGCTTCGAGCTCCTCCTGGCATACGCTGAGCTGCTCGGTCGAGTTGGTTAACTGGCGCTCCACCGACGACAGGTCGTTGCGCAACTTGGCGTTCTCGCGACGAAGACTATGCGTTCCCAGGCAATACAAGGATGCAGGTTGCCGTGGGTCGAGGTTTAGCAAAGCATACCGTTGTGTTTCTGACTTCATGCTTTGCATCTCAGCGGGCAATGGGGGCAATTGATGCGACTTGGATGACGACGACGATAACGGTGGTTCGTCGTACATGACCAGCCCACTGTTGCTCTCGTTGTCGACCTCACTCCATTCTGAAAATGAATCTGCATCTGGACCACCGTTAGATGGGCTTGCCGGCGCTGCCTGGTGTGCCGATGAGCTCGAGTGACTGGGTGTTTCGAATTCTGTCGACACATGCAGATTATGGTGTGTTGAGTCCTAATACGTCACAGCACTTGAGCATCAGAAAGCTCGACAGAAGCAAGTCACCTACCTCGTATCCTCCACTGCTCGTGTGTTTAACTTCCCAAGCTAGATCAAGCACGTTGGTATCTGAAGTCGGCGCGGCACAATGAATACCTTCTTCGCTGACGGTCTTGGGTTTCTTGCGATCCTCTATACACAAACACAGCCCATCAGCACGCAATCACAGCATCCCATACAACTCGTACCGCCACGCGGCTTAAGCTTTCCAGAAGCCTTCTGGTCCACCGACTCCAAGAGTTCCCCTGCCAACTGCAGCGAACTCGACAACCAGCTCATCTTCTCTCGAAACAGAAACCGGCGAAATTCCCGCATCATGATGCACTTTACATATCCTCTGTAAATGAAATTCTTGTATTATTTTATGCTCTGCATAAATTTGAAACTGTATCATTGTATATGTTGACCTGCGCGTTAGAGGAAAACCTCCGAGTCGGCAGCAGTGCCGCGGTGTCCGCGAGTCTCCAAAAGCGCAACCAAGTCCATGATATTGAAGCGGGAACCCCCTTCCACGCTACACGTGACCTGAAGCAGTGCCTTGAGCTTGTGCAAGGCCACGTACAGATGAAAGGTCGTTTGGAACACCCGTTGAAGAATCTGCAGGTCAACAAAACAGTCATTGCTCCCCGCCATTCCCTGGATGAGGGTTGCGACGTCTTGTGGACATAGTCGGCGCTCCCACATGTACATTTCCATGTGAGTCACAACGTGCATCTTCAGCATCTCCATCTCTTCGAAGTGCTCGATGGCTTCAAGCAGCGTTTCTCGTTCGACATACCACACAGCTTGGATAATTGCCGCGTTGTGAACCATCGCCGGAGCAAAGACGATCAAATTGATCCACAAAGGAACGCTCAGTGAAAGTGCACACCATACTCCTCCCGAAGTGGTTGCCGGAAGCACCAGCGGCCACAACAGCGCCATCAGGAATGCATTCACGACAAGGGTGAGGCGGACCAGTAGCTGGATCGACTTTGCATGGAGCATTGGGGAAGGTGCTGCCCCTTGTGGCCCGCACCAGATTGCATCATCCGTCGTGCCGACGAGTCTGCTGTCCTTGATACACCAAGTTGCAGCGGCGTCACGAAGTCGATGCAGAGATTCGTTGGTGGTCGATGGTGGCGCCTAGAATGGATCGTTTAACATTACATGATGTCGGCATGAATGTACTTGATGGGACGACAGGCATTGCACAGCTTCCATGGGATCGCCGCGCTTTCCGACGACATGTCTAAAGAGGCCATCGAGGACGCGGACCAAGTACAGATGCAAGACGAATGTGGACACCACCAGCAGCGAGGTCAGCACAGCAAATGCGACCACACGTTGTGGAGTCGACGAAAAGGCTTCGCCCATGAAGATGATGCAGAAAAGGAAAAGCAGGAATGTCCAAGTGCTTGGGTCGATGCGGAGGATGTAGCGGACGGACTGTCGCGTTTGAATGCTGCCGACATACGTAGCAAACGAGAAGCTTCGGGGGAGGTCGTACGTGCAGAGGAAGTAGTGCTCGAGCACCTTGAGGTGCAGTTGTCGAACGTGATATCGGGCATGGTAGAATTGGACGAGGCAAGACCGATGTCGCATGCGAACCAAGGAAGCTCCAGCTTCCGTGAGGACTTCCCCGGGGCTGCGTCGGCAAAGCGCTTCCAAATTCGTGCTTCGCGGTCGAAGATACACCAGGACGAGGAAAACATGAGCCGACAGAGATAGCGTGATGTAGAAAACACCAAGATGGGCAGCATCCAGGGCACGGAATGCATTGCTGTCGTGCGGAACGAGGCCGACAACGCAGCAGAACGTGATCACGACGTGAATGCATCCAACCACAGAGAGTTCTACATACAGAGACTTAATGAGCAAGAAGGATCGATAGATGTGCTGCATACCTCCAGCAACAGTGTGCACGAAGTCAAGAAATCCCAAGTTTCCGTGGACAGCTTCGTTCAAGGCACGGAAACCTGCCTTCATGCCAACAACGACAACGACCACGGCACCCACCGCCAGTAGGTAAAGCCCAGCGTGCACCTCCATCCAGTTAGCCTTCTTCGCTGATTATTTCAACATGGACGAAGGTGATGTCCCCTGCATTCTTCGTAACCTTCCCGCGGCATCGCATGCTGAGATGCTGTGCGCGGAATTGCATGCGAATTTGATTGAAATTTGTAAATTTTGATGTTTTTTGTTAGATAAAACAACGAATTTAACGCGTCTGATTGGCTGGTTTCAATGGTGCGAATCGAAAAACCTTTTCTGCCCCCAACATTCGCACAAATCAACCCGCACCAACGTCTTGGCCCATGCGTCGGTACCTTGCCGGCTCGTCGCTTCGCCAAGCGCTTGGCCGCCGCCGCCAATACGTTGATCTACCCCATTCATCTGTATTGCCTCTCTTCCACTCCCACCCACATGCAGCCGCAGCGTCGTCGTTCCATGCGTCTGCTGTCACGGCCATGGCTACGAACCCCAAAGCGTTTGTGTCCAAGTACTACGAACTGGAGGATCACCGTGCAATCGACGAATTCCTTCGTCGCAAAAGCCTCGTTCTCAAGGAAACGTCCACGCATTACATCGTGCGTGACTGCCCCTTCTGCCATCCGACCAAGGGACGCGCTGACAACCTGTTCAAATTGTACATCAACAAAGCCAACGGCGTGTATATCTGCCATCGATGTGGCGCCAGTGGCAGTTGGTTCACGTTCAAGCAAAATGTAAATGTCTCCTTCCTTTTGCCATGCTTGTGACTTTGACAGGCTGTTCCTGTGAGTAGCTGAGTTGCAACGATGTCGTGGAAGCATCCACGGGATACGCCGATTCGCACCCTTCTGGCCGCTCTATTGACGCTCCTACAGTCATTTCAGCACTCGACAACTCGAAGGCCATCGCGCTGACACGAAACCTGCATAATGACGAAGATTGCCGCCATGTGCTCGACTACCTCACGTCCAAGCGAGGATTTCACCCTGACGTCCTTTCCAAATACTGCGTTGGTGCGATCCAGCAGCCATTTTATGGCGTGGATGGGGCGTCCGAAACGAAGTGGTGTGTGACGTTTCCGTGGATGGCGCGACAGGCCGACGTTGCTGCGATGGGAGCCGAATTGCTTGTGGACGATGCAGCGGCCACGCCCTCATCCGGGGACGCCAACCTCTTCAACGTTGTGCGACTCAAAGTCAGGGCCATCGACGACAAGTCCAAGCAGCGCCTCGTGCCCAAGGGCGGCTGCTGGGGGCTCTTTGGCTGGAACACCATCTCGAACGATGCCGACTCGATAGTGCTGACCGAAGGCGAATTCGACGCGATGGCCGTGTACCAAGCGACAGGTCGGCCAGCAATTTCGTTGCCGAACGGGTGCCGGTCCCTCCCGCCGGCGATTCTCCCGCTCTTGGATCGGTTTTCGTCCATCTACTTGTGGATGGACAGCGACTTGCACGGACAGGAAAGCGTCGAGAAATTTGTCACCAAACTCGGTGCCGCTCGGACGTATGTCGTGCGGTCCCCTGGCGTAAAGGACGCCAACGACGCACTGCTGGCCAAACTCGACCTGAACGCCATCTTGGACAACGCAAAGCTGAAACCGCATGCGCAAATCGCCACCTTTGAAGACCTTCGAGCCGACGTACGTCCCGTAAACCATTCAAACGTCGACCGCCACTGTCATATGTGGTTCCGTACTCCATTGGGACCCTGGCTGCATTCAATCGTGGTGGATGTAGGTTCTGAACGAAATGATGAACCCTTTGCGAGCGCATGGAGTTCAGTCGCGGTCGATTCCCGCGTTGAATACGTACTTGAAGGGGTTTCGAAGCGGTGAACTCACGGTGCTCACTGGTCCGACGGGATGCGGAAAGACGACACTGCTCAGCCAACTCTCGCTCGACTGGTCGGTCGCGCCACGATCTCGCGCGGGTCATCTCACCAGTGCATGTCGTGTAGGTGTGCCCAAGGAGTGAGTACTCTGTGGGGGTCGTTCGAGATCAAGAACACGCGGCTCGTTCACAAGATGCTAACACAGATGGCGGGACGGTCGCTTGCGCTTAACTTGGACCTGTTTGAGCGCACGGCGGACGAATTCGAAGCGCTCCCCATGTACTTTTTGCGCTTCTTTGGAAGCTCCGACGTCGACGAAGTCCTCGATGCGATGGAGTATGCTGTGTACGCCCACGACGTGCAGCACGTGATTCTGGACAATGTCCAGTTTATGATGTCGGGGCAGGGCCGTGGCTTCGACAAGTTCGAGCGCCAGGACGCCGCGCTGGACAAGGTTTGCCGCTGACTTTGGAAGATGTATCGGTTGATCGCGTGGTAGTTTCGCAAATTTGCCACGGCCAAGAACGTCCACGTGACGCTGGTGATTCACCCGCGCAAGGAGCAGGACGATGTCGACCTCACGCTGTCGTCTGTGTTTGGGACGGCCAAGGCGACGCAGGAAGCCGACAACGTCCTGATATTGCAGCGCAACCGGGGCGAGGTCAAGCTCGATGTGCGCAAGAATCGGTACTTCGTTGTCACTCGAGGACACGCATCAGCTGATTGTTTCGTGCGCAGATTCGACGGGTCCCTCGGGTCCATTGCGCTTCGGTTTGACAAGGAAGCCGTGTGCATGCGCGAAATGTACCCCGTTGCCATGGACGACACGTTGGCCGCGCGAGATTTGGAGTTGCAAATGGAGCGCGAAGCAAAACTACGTCGGGACGTGTCTGCTGCGACGACACAACCTAAGACCACACACGACCGCGATCTTGACCAGAACGCTGGCCCCTGCGACGACATCTTCACGCTGAATAGCCTCCACGCCTCGTCCGATTCCGTGAATGGATCTTCCACTGCAGGCGTCGCGAGAATGAACGGCCATGCCCCGCTGAACGGCCACGACCTCCACGTCCATGGACGCAAGGTGGTCAACGGTCACCAACAGGAACACGCCCCGGAACCATTTTCTCTGTTCACGCCCATTGTAACAAGATAAAGAGCAACATGTCATGCAGATGGGTAGCAGTCTCGAAGCATGAACGGCTGAGATGGAAAGCAGACCGATCGATGGCAACTGGATCGATCGATTGTGTGCTACGACACCTCCTTTAACGACTGGCGACCTCGACATGCCAGCAACAATGGCACGACGCTCGATACAACCAACGATCACTCTGACAGTGGAACGACCATCGCAGGACATTGCAGAGCTCGCTCCCAACCTTCGTCCATTTCAACACTGTTGGCCGTACACGATCGGACGACAAGGTGCCGAATCGTTCACGAACTTGAGTCCACATGCAGATCTTCTGGCGTTGACGCCAATGCAATATTCAGCCACTTTGGTCCACCGGACCTCATCTTTTCCAACTCGTCGCCCTCATTTTTGCAAGGGGTGATGTAGCTCTGCATCGTTCAAGGCACGCAACGACTTGGCCGACCTGTCCTCTTGCAATTACATTTCTAACTACCTCTATCTCCCTACGACGCCGTCACGGTGGTGTGTGTGGCGCTGCTGCTGAGGTACTCGTACATGGTCCATGTAATGGCAGTGCCAAGTGTCCGTTTGAAAACTCGCGGCAACACGCCACGCAGGAACCCTCGCAACCCTTCATCTGCATACATCTTGGCCATCGTCGCACGCACTGTCATTCCGTTCATTTCCAACTGCATTCGCGTCTTGACAACGTCAAATGGATGCACGAGAACGGTCGCCGTAACGCCAGCTGTGACTCCGCAGCCAAAATTCACGGCCACGGGATGGTGGACGCAGTTGTCGGATCCAATGACGTTTTTCAGTCGTGTGTACAAAGTCACGTACAACCCAGAGAACGGCACGTCGCGAAGCAACGTCGGCAAGACCCCTCGATACAACCCTCGCCACCCATACGAGGTCACGAGAGATCGGAGCTGCGACAAGAGGCTTTGGTTGGTTGCATCCCATTCCATTCGTGCCTTCACGATCGTCAGTGGGGACATTACGATTCCAGAAAACGACCGCGCCAGAGCACCACCAAAGAACGCAGATACGGCATCTCGTTTCTGAACCTGCAGTTGCTCCAGCGCGACAAAATACAGCCCGGCGCCGCCACACACTCGCAGCAATGTCGGCGTCGTGCCCCGCCACAGCCCCGACACTCCACTTTCTCCAAGCAGAAAGCGGACGCTCTGTCGGACGTTGTGCACCTCTGAGCCGAACTTGCCTTGCTGGTGTGTTCGAATGACGTCCAGAGGTTGGAATGCAATCGCCGAGAGTCCGCCAGACACTGCGCCCGTGCTGAAGTGCTTCCATGACTTGTCCATCGTGGCAATGCGGTAATTGCGCACTCAAGGTGGCGATTGGACAAGACAGACGAGCGTATCCGGATATTATGCGGAAGATTGCCGTCGTCGGTTTCACAAAGTGAACATATCGGCGGGGCTGATGCATGCTGGCTGCCGCATCATTACCGTCGTTGGGGTGTGCGGCATATTGGCTGCTGGCTATGGTGTTATAGCAGCAGCAGTTCGACGAACGAAGTCATACTTGGGCCGCCACACCATCGTCACGACAGTGCTAAGCGCTCCGTATCACGACTTGACCTCTAGGTGATGTCAAGCATATTTAATCAACATCGTGGTGGACGTGGCGGTAATTGGACTCGCGCGGTTTATGGAGGTGGCCTGACCGAGTACATGAAGTCGTAGGGCAAGGTGTTCTGCTGCTCTTGGATACATGTGAGTACAGCCAACAGACACCGACACTGGTCTGCGGCAACTCGCACCGTCGCTGCCGATTCGGCGAGTGATGCACCAATACGACTGGCAAGTAGTCCTACATGGTCAGCTGACCCAAGTCGGTGGCTTCGATCGAGGCTTATAGGAGGAAGGGACCGCAGTGGTGATGCCCGTATGTAGATGTGGTCACAGCGAGACGCCAAATCTAACGCAGGAGGCAGACGGGTGGCCCTGGCGACGGACGAGACCTGGTGGAGCTCAGAGGTAGGAAATAAAGCTGCCTTGTAGAACACTCCTGCGTCTGCCCGTTGCACGACGCTTCGGAACAAAGGGGTCGCGATCAGGCGGGGGCGTGATACGAATGCCAATTTTGTGAAAACGTGATATGACGAAAATGTCCATTCGCTCTGGTGGCGGCTGTCCACGCCGTGGGCAATCCCAAAGTATTCTCAATTTCTCCCGATAGCTATCTTCCAAGACAAACCAGGGATGGGCAGCTAGGCAACACAGTTCTGTATCTATTTTCTACATGGTTTACTCGGACTTTTTGGCAGGCAGCGTCAAGAGGTCGATCTTCAAATGCGCGCAAATCTCAAACACTGCCGACAGAATGTAGTGCACGTATACAGCCGTCACAATTGCGGCGTACACAAGGGACGCCACCAGCGGCGTCGCGATCGCCACGTCCACAAGGTCCGGCGCGTACACGACAGCCAAGAACATGGCGAGTGGGACCAGGATGCGACTTTGCATCGAGAACGGGACTTTCGACATGTGGCACACAATCATGCGCGACTACGTTCCATCACTTAGACTGTGCCCACCACGAATGGACGAGCACTCACCGACATGAGCACAAAGTTGAGTCCGAATGGCCACATGAGGACGAGGGGATGGGACAAATACACATCACGTGTCGGGCCAACAAGCATCGTGAAGCACCCGCCGACAAGGACTGCGACGACGGGGATCAGTTGGACCATCGCATGGCCGCGAGTGAGCTACACGAATCGTGAGTGACAGTCATGCGCACACGAATTCAAACGATTCACATCGCCATGGACAAACCTCCTTGTGGCCCACTTGGTCGCCCGCCAATGGCGCTGCCGAGAACACGTTCTTGATACTGAGGAAACGCAAAGCTCGTCAACGTTGAAATTCTCGATGGAGTAGAATATACTTGGCGTAGACCAGCACGACATTGCTGGCAAAGCAGGTCGAAATGAACAACTGGCCGCACGTAATGGATGCAAACGGGAGCGGTTCAACAAGCCACATGTCGTCACCTAAACCATACCCATGACAAGGCGTGAAACGGGAAGAGGCAGCAGGCGCACCGACGGCGGCTGTGAGCAAAAGGCACCCGATCAAAGTGAGCTGGCCTTCCGTGACGCCATAGTAACCATTACCGCAGCTCATCGTGCCGGTGTGGTACTCGTCCCTGCAGCACGCGCACTGTTCAGCTCGCGAGCGCAACAGTATAATTTCTACCTACCATTGCGCAAAAAAGAAGTTGATCGATACGCTCGACAGCCCAGCAAATGTGTAGGTCGAGTTGCCCGCGCGGAAGGCAACGAAAGCGGTGAGGCAGTTGAGCATCGCACTCAACGCGTCGCACCCTGTTCAGAGAAATAAACCTACAGGAAAGTTCGATCTGGTACCGTGATCAAAGAGTTGTCCAAGAGGACTCGACGACCCCGTGCGGCGCGCCTGCTTGCCGTCGATGGCATCCAACGTTTGGTACACAAACAGACCAACCCCACTCAGCACATAAGCCCAGCCTGGAGCACCGCCTTCCAACTTGGGACTGATCACAAGCAAGAGGGCAGTCGTAAAGACCACAATAATCGTGCCTGTCAATGTCACAAGGTTTGGAGCCATCCACAACGGCAAGAACTCGACCATCGCATTCCAGAAGTGGTTCAACTGGAGGTCCAAGAACGTGTACGACCCACTACAAGGACACATTGAGTGAATTCGAGTGGCGCCGCATGACCACGTACGCCTTGTACTTGTACGCGGCAATACCTTCCAGCGCTTGCTTCGACAGGACACCCATGGCGACGGTGGGTCTGACGAAGATTGGCGACGCCGCCCAATTATCCGGACAAATGCTGGATGGCGGGCAAAACCAAACGATACAAAATATATTTTCAACACGGTTTTTGGTTTCCATACAAATTCCAAGCTAAATTCTAGTTCTCGGTCGTTTTTGTACGTGGTCGTCAAGCTGAAATAAATGATTCCAACATTTTACTAGTACATCATTTACTAGTACTAGTTATTTACTAGTACTAGTTCTTCAAAAAATTGATTTTAACAGTGGTGGGCGGCATCGAGGGGACTTCAACAAAAACTATAAACTTTTGGAAAAAATCACAACGTGCATCCATTATCAATTTTTCCTTGACCTGAAACTTTATAGGAACCACGGACATAAACACGCAACCTTGTCAAATATTGTATGTCTCAGAACGCCTCCAACAATCACAAATAGAAGGAAATAGAAACATACGATGCATATGGACATTCATTCACAACTTTGGAGCAGAATATTTTGCAAGGTATTGTGTTTCAGGATCATTTGATTGCACGGTTCGAACCAGCGCGCGATGCAGATTCGTTTGACGTATTCCAAGTCTATCGTAGCATATTTTTTTCACACGAAGGAGTAAAAGTCCCCTCGATGACGCCCGCCACTGTAAATGAATGTTCTATTCTAACAACCAAACGACGTGGATATTTGACTTGTTGCCGACCGGACGACGCTTCGTTCCCGCGCACTTTTTGACCGACGCGCGCCTCCTCATTCTTTGTAGAAGCAGTGTGTGCACGTCTGCGTGTACTTTCAAGGGGCAGGAAACCTCCCACTGGTCCTGTGGAAGTTAGATTTCCCCAATCACCAAGGCAAGCACCGTGGTGACGATGCTTGTTTCCGACATATTCTTCGCTTCGCAATGCGTCCAAAGTTCGCGTGCGCCCCGTATAACATGTTTCTTACGTGTTTAGTTTATCGTAATTCTAGCGATGCCGTCGTTCGATTCCTACGGTGGACGAGGTTCATTCGTGCTACGTCGCTTCGAACATGCTGGTTGTTGCAGTCTCTATTTATCCTCACCGTAGAATCCGATTTTGGGAAAGCTGCCATCGTTGCGTGCTTGATGCAGGCATGGCTCCTTTGACGGTGGTCCTGAAGTTGTGGCATTACAAGACGCATCAACCGATTCATGACCACTCAACTGCGAGGCTTGCTGTACTCATCGACATCACTATCGTCGCCGAAGAGTCCGCCTTGCGTTTAGCAGACGAAGACCCTGCCATCGTCGGTACAATGCATTTCAACGCTCGTTTCCCTTCACGTCGGTTCCTTTGGCTGTTGCTATTGTGGATCGTGGAATCCCCCTGGCAGTGGTTGTATTCCCATCTTATTCAAGTTCAGGGATTTGCCATCAAGTAAATGAACAATGGCGACCTTCTAGACATAGTTCAACAATATGGATTAGCGAGTACGTACGAATTGAATAGGCTGTTCGTCCTATATATCCTGGGAGCTTGGTTGGAATGATGAAATGCTCAATGCACTTGTCTGAAACTTGTGGCTCGTCAATTCCCCGAGGTCCCATGCGAGCAAGGATCGGCCAAAGAAATGCTGAATGACTCGACTTCACAGTTGGCATTCCCTGCTTGGTTGAAAGCAGCCATCCTTGAAGAAAGCGTTTCCCATTGTCATGACTGGTATATGTGTCCACAACAGATTAAATCGCTTCAACTGCGCCATCATCGTATCGAGACTTGCTTTCCGATAAATGGCTCAACAATCTTCGCGACCCCATCAGGGACGGGCTCTAAGTCTCCTGCACACTTCTTCGCCGGCGGGTTGGACCGGCTGCATGCCGTCGCCCTTGCGTTGGTGCTCGAAGATAGTGCCTATATCAGAACCACCGCGAACCGTCATGGCATTTGATTGGCTAATATACCTTGATTTACATGAACGTAAGCCAACCAAATTGCTTGATTTGATGGAGGAGCCAATAAAATTGCATCTTGCGAATTTCACACACACCTGTACACCGTATCAAACACCTGATTTTCCTGCCATTATTTCTGCCTAGAAGATGCTGCCCAACGGCGGCGGCGGCAATCGGCCATCCGCAAGCCGATCGACCATGACCCGTCGTTCGGAGTTCGACTTCAGTCCCCACGAGAAGCCATCTCCGTTCCTTGGAGTTGTCAAGGTTGTCATCATGCTCGTGAACGTTGCGTTCATGATGGTTGCAGGCATGTTGATCTACTTCACCGCGTGGATCCAGAGCCTGGGCTTGGTCGCGATGTTTGGGTCCAACTACTCATGGCTCTCGACCGCCATGTTTGGAGTTGTGCTCGCGTTTGGGGTGCTGGTGATCACAACGTCGTTGGTCGGGTGTTTGGGGGCGTGGGCAAAGAACAGGTACACGTTTGCGGTCTTGAACACTCCATCGTGACACCGCGCATGACTAGGCACATGCTGCTTGGGTACATGTTCGTCCAAACGATCAACCTGGTTGTGTTTGTGGTGATTGCCGTCGGCGGGTTTCTCACACGCCGCATGGCCCACTCGTTGCAAGCGAGTGCCACGCCTCGCCACGAAGAAGCTTCCTTTCCCATGCACTTCAATCCGCTGTACTGCCAAAGCCAAGTTGCGTACTACTGCTCTGCTGGAAGCGTCAGTGAATCTCTCACGCTCTTCTTGGGTCCCTCTGTCGCGGCCAAAGCTCGAGGCGTCTTCGATCAGCTATACGGGTGGGACATAGCTTGCAACAGCTCGCTCATTCGCATCACCGACACAGACTTGAGCCGACAAGTCAATGCTACATGCGCTTTATGCGGGAAATATCCCGCCGCCAAGTACAGCGAGTTCTTGACGACTATAGTGGGCACATGCCCGCTCACACCCGACACGGCCAAGTGGTGCGGTGTATACCTGACCACCGTGAACACGAGGTATAAGCTTGGCTGTCAAGAGCAACTGCTAACTGCATTGTAGCTTCAGCAACGTAAGCTCCACACCCTACGGCGCGTGTAGAGCCCAAGTTTTGGACTTGTGGGTGCATCTAAGCTCATGGGTTGGATTTGGGGCAGTGGGGGTCGCTCTTTTCTCGTACGAGACTGCTCCCATGTTCAACACGACCTGAATGAACCTTCGCTTCAGGCTTGCGATCATCGGGTTGTCCGTTCTTCTGCGCCAATTGGTTTCGAAAGCCGAGGCCATGGACACTGACGCCGACGACAATCCTCGGACCACGTCGATGTCTCCCATATTTCCACCATTGCCCTCGCCGTTGGAATCGGATTACCATGTGATCCGGTCGCCTGTTCCTGTTTAAATCCGACCAAGGCACGAGGAATAAATGTATTTTTCGTGAATCGTAGCAACTCGTCCAGACATCCACCATTCTAACACATGTGGGGCGCGCCAGGGGTCGCATGAAGCGGCTTGAGGCGCGCCTCGGGGTTCGGCATGACGGGGAGACCTCCACGAGGGTTGTTTTTGGCCGTGGGCGGGATGATGTCGCGCTTGTACTGGTCCAGGGGGTTCTTGGATGTTTGAGGGCCACGCCGATGGACAACACAGGCGACAAAGACGAGGAAAAACAGTGCGATTGTGACGAAGGACAACGGGATCACGACAATTGGTGTCCACTTGGTCAGTGCGCCGTACACTTTGGAGCGGCAGATGCGAAACGGAGCTTCGGCGTCGGGCCCCTGCGTTTTCGCACTCAGCATACCAACACACCACTTGAGAGCCGCCGGGTCGGGCGCACACTCAGCGTTAGCCCAGGCAAAGACAGAGTTCAAGTTGGAAAACTGGTTGGCAGTTTCGCACCCAGTGCAAACTGGATCCAACTTGAATGATGGGACAAGGCTGGCGAGGTCTGCGACCGGGCCATTTTGGCGATAGTTTGCACATAAACTCTGCATGCCAACTATGCCAGCTTCCGTCAGAATGTCCTTGAGAGCGTGCAGCACGAGAGACAGCACGTCTTCCGTCGCATTCGGTGCCAGCGTCGAGATCGCATCACTGAAGGCGACGTTGTTGCACAGGTTCGCGCCCGTGGCGTAGCAATACACCTGGTTGAATCGGTTTGCAAACGCTCGTTCTTGCTTTTCGTCGGCAGGATATGTCTTGTCCTTCCAGCTCGATGCTTTGGCAAAAACGAACCATCCTCCACCAGAGATCGCGAGAAACGCGATCGCCGACAACGCGCACAAGATTGCGTAAATCACGAGCAAGAAGCGCACACGGAACACTGCACCAAAGAAACCAATGGTGGCCGCGACGATGATGAGGGACGCGAAGATAAGCACTGCCCATGACACCGTCTCATTCAGACCTTGTGCCTTGCTCAACGTATCCCCTTCAAACATGTCAGCCCAGTGTTCCGTCTTGAGGTAGATGCCAGCGTAGAGAACGAAGCCTCCTGCGGCGAGGAAGACGATATTGGCTACCACCATGATCAGCATGTAGCACTTGGCCGCCGTCCACGCCATGGTGCTCCTTTTGCCAAAGAATGAGTTGCCAAGATTGACATCGAATATGAGGCTGGCTGTTGTTGTGTCGTGAATTTGTTCAAGCTATGTCGGTTTTGATTGGCTGCTGATCCTTTCAGGCTATTTTATCCAATCAGATTGTTCTACAAAAGGATGCCAATGCAATCAACGACATGCTATGAATTTGTTCGCTGCAGATAAATGGACATGTTGCCGACAACAGCTTTTGATAGCTGCGATGTCTTCTCTCAGCAGTCGACAATTCATAACCCAGAAGACAGTTGCGTACGAGAGCTTCCTAAAATGAATAGGCAATGGATTGGTAAAACAAATGCGCCGTCGGGGAATTGAACCCCGACCTTCTCCTTGGAAGGGAGAAATCCTAACCATTAGACTAACGGCGCTGTCCTTCTTTTGTCAGAAAAGTACCAACTAACTGTGAAATGATGTGTACCCCCGCCTCTACAGCCACCCCGTACGTCGCTGCCGTCCCTTTGGGGGTTCGCACGAATCCCGTGGGACCAGCTTCCACACCTCCTGATGCTCCGGCTGCGAACGTTTGGGACCACCAGTGCTGTTGAAGTACGGCGACACCGACGGTTACTCTTGCACCACACCGATAGCTCTAGATTTCAACAGACAGAGACGTACATCCAGCTAGTCAGATAACGCTACATCAATCACTTCGGAATTCACTCGGTTGCTCCAACATATCCTCCAACAAGTGCGAGCAGCGCCGCCGCGCCACTCGTCTCAGTGCCAAGGCCGACATTGGGCTCCACAAGCCCTCGATGGCGCAGCTTGTTGCTTCCGGAGCTTCTGGTGGTGAGCTATTCGATGCGCACGAGCCGCTTCGGCTCGACTCGTCCAAGCCAGTAGTATGCTGTGTGAAGATGCCCACAGGCTCTCACACTAGTCAAATCGACGAAGGACGGGCTCTGAAGACAGTTCTCTTCGATAATCAACACCTCGGGCTAGAGTCTTCATTGGCTGATATTGTCCAATGCTCCAATGATTTAGCCAATCAGCAGCTTTGCTGGGGTCTCGCCTCGGTCGAAGAACTTGACCGTCTCACCGGCGTTTCATTCAACATCCCCGTTTCACGTGACGGCTCGAAAGAGCGGTTTACTATGGCCCGACCCCATGTTATGGACGAGTTCCATGTGAACATCCTTGACTTTGTGCACGACTGCTCAGCGGAGCGTCACCTCTGGGAGGTGCTTGCTGCGTGTGGCGCGTCACCGATCTCGGGGCAGTACACCCAAGTGTCCGAATCCTTCGGTACCGGAGGCTCTCGCTACCGGCTGTACTTCCAGTCGGAAGGATCTCCATCGTTCTTTGTCTGTGGTGGTCGACTTATCGATGAGGTTATCTTCCTTGGCAAAAGGTATCGCATATTTGGGAAAGGATGGTTTAGCCACAAAAAAGGGTTCCAGCGGATTCACTTGGACATTTCTGCCAAGGAGAAACGTATCGTAAAACCCTCCTCTACCGTACCCCCCCCAAACGGCACGCTCCACTGGCACCAGCAAGCGCAAGTGCGTACAACCTCCCCAACCTACCCCTTGGACATACGTTCCCCGCCAGTGTAACCGACCACTTACCTCTGGCGCTGCCGCCTCAGCTCGGCCATGGACCGGCCATGGATGTCTCCGAATATGTTCGATGCCCTGCGGAAGCACATTGTGGTCGCACCAGCCCAATCAACGAACAAGGCTAGTGACGCCGTTATGATCTTTCCATCCATTCTCCTGCGCCCGACGCGCCAGCGGTCCCTCCACCGAATACCTACGTTGGTGGCACGAAATCTGTCGCGAACTCGGTCACTCGGATTGAGATGTCGCTAGACTCGCTCGAGTCTAGCGACATCTCAAAAGTTTAAACTCCTCGACACCAAGACAGAGTCCGCTCGAGCCACATTTGACTCCACAGGTGTGCTTAGTGACGCGGCTGTTGCGTTCGAACTCGCGGAGTTGATCGAGATTGGCGAGGCTGACAAGATTCACCATTTCCTCCAGAATCACCCAATCCAGTTTGGACAACAGCTTGCAACACTAGCTGCATCGCACCCTAACCTCCTGCTTCATTTGGTTCACCTCAGAATCCTCTGCCGCTGGATGCGTGTCACCTGGGGGTCTGAACTTCCGTTCACTCAGCTCTACAGCACCGTGTTTAATCATGCGTTCACGATCGGTTTAATTTCAGCCGATTTTGCCACCCTGGAGGCGTCCTCAACGCTCGAGGATTACACAACGGATGACATTGGGGATGAATGCATGGTTCAATGCAGCGACGCCGACGTAATCTTCGCTCTCGGAGATGTCGTGCTCGCATACATGGCGCCGCTCTACTACGAAAGCGATACGGCCCTGAATGCAACAGTGGCGGGTCCTGTGCTCGCCATCCCTGCATGCGGTGGATCTCGCTACCTCTCAACCTCGACACTCCACCAAGTTATGATGAGATCTGTCCTTGGGGACCAGATCTGGTCGGCGACCAAGGGGCTGATTCAACACTTCTATACGTCTGCTCTGGCTGGGCCTTCGTCAGCCGCCTCGAGCGATGCCAGCGTCGAATCTTCCCTGCACGACCTTGCCCACGTCTATGCAGACTGGACTCGTGATATGGACAAGATGGTCACTCTAGATCAGTCCTTTGCACTGGATATCGTGGCAGCCAAGCAGCCCATGATGAGCCAATCCACTAATACTTTGGTCCACCGCGACCTAGAGGAGCTCTGGATCAACACTGCTCCGCCCCTGGTCGGCTAAACCTGTCGCACGACCTACCCTCGGAGGCGCGACGACCGTCTCCATCACAACTTGTAATCTCAACGGCTTCAAGATTCATGACGGCACCCCAGCAGCTGCCCTCGGCAAGCACATCACCACGTGCGTCTTTTTTCAAGGGACGAAAACCGAGAATCAAGACCACTTTTGCACAATTCGCCGTCATGTTACCAATCATGTCGGCTATAAGCAGTACAAACTGTTTGTAAACGACCACCGAACATCCTCCACGAGCCCCCAACTCCACCGCAGTAAGGGTGTCGCAACGTTCTTCCACTCGTCGATGCCGGGCTTCACCACCCTCAAACCCCTCTGGACACTCCGTGTACCCGACCGCTACCTGGTAGTTCGAGCGAAATGGGACAACACCCCCGTCTACTTTCACAACGTCTACGCTCCAGTGGAAGACGAGCACCGTGCTGCCTTCTTTGGGGAACTTCCGCGGGATTTTGAGCCCAACAGCCGTCACATTGTCGGTGGTGATCCCAACTTCCCTATGGACGTTGAACTCGACACTACCTTGCACCATCCCAGCCACAATTCTGGCAAAGCCGAGTGCTGTGAATGGCTCTCTTCACTTAACGTTGTGGACGCATGGCGGACCAAAGAACCCGATGCGAAAGTCCTCACAGGACCACGCGGCAGAACATGCCTCGATTACGTATTTGTCGATGTCGAGTTGACTGCATTTTTCCACCAGCACTCGACCTTTGACTGTAACGCATATCACGGTGACCACATGACGCATACCACAGTCCTCGCCTCATCGATGTCTGGCACAACTCCCTCCTCAAAGCACCGGCTATGGAGGTTGCCACGTGAGCTCCTAAACGACCCGTTCGTCGTCCGCGCCCTAAAAGTGGAAGCACAGTCCCTGCTCGACGAATTTATCGTCGACCCAACGTGCAACTTTGGTGCCAAGTGGACAGGCTGGCTTCGTTGCATGAAGAAACAGCTCCGTCAATGCCACTACAATCAGCTGCAGCACCGCCATGAATCCCTTCGCACTCTCCAGGTTCGACGGGACACAGTGCGGGCTGCCCACACCAATGGCTCTGCCCCCTCACATGCGGTAGAGGCGGCCGACGAGCTCTACACATCGGCGTGTACAGAGTGGCAGCAAAATAACTGGGACGTTGGGTTTGACCGCCACGCAACACAAAACGAAGTGGCCAGTGGTCACTTTCTCCGTAAACCACCAGCATTGATACTCCCCATTCGCAGTGCTACGAGTGGTTCGATTGTGACGTCCGACCCCACGGAGGTTGCCAGTATCTTCACTGAGTTCCGGAAAGGCATCCTGGTCAAGCCACCGGCTCAGCCCCCGCCAGAACCACACCAATACGAGATCGTACAACGGCATATTAGTCGATCCCTCTCTGTCGAGCAGCAGGCCGGCCTCGATCGTCCACTCGAAGCATCAGAACTCGCGTCGGCTCTCAAATCTATGAAACGTAACAAATCTCCTGGTCCCGACGGATGGCCCGTTGAGTTCTTTCTGGTGGCCCCCGATACCTTCTCGGAAATCTTGGTTCGTGTGTTCAACTACCAACTCACTTCGCGTGACCGCCTCCTCGTCCAGCAACGCCGGAGCGCCGTCACCCTTCTCTACAAGAAGGGCGACAGATCCACCCCGTCGAACTACCGTCCCATCACACTGATGCCGGTGGAGGTTAA